GGGCCGGGGTAGGCCCCGCCGCCGCCGACCCCCGGCGCAGGCCCCGGCTCCCCGCCACTGACCAAGGGCACAGGGTGGACCAAAGAGCCACCATTTAAAAATTTGGGAGGAGTTGTTTTCATTACAAAAACCATTTTCTTAAGCCTCTTTGTTTTTTGAATCATCTGTCCTGAAAGTAATTTGACAAAGTACACGCTCTGGTTGTTATACGTGAGGTTCTTACAGTAAGGGACTCAATGATTTAAGGAAACGGGAGTTACTGTGGGGCTGTGCTGTAATTACTACAAAGTTAGAATGATTAATTCCCATCAAAAGTCAGAAAGTTGGTATAAACTGAAAGCGCGCTTCCCTGAAAACACCCGAGGGTACGCTGTGCATCTGCAGGGGTTTGTAGATGAAAAACAAAATAAGAATAAAAGCAAAATGCCAAATCAAGTCAGTTTGGAAGTTTTTTCTGGGGTCTCTGGCATTGACGCTGTGTTTTCTGAGGTGTCCGTGACTGTTCGGCCACGTAGTTTCCAGCCACAGCACTGAACCTCAATGCAGGTGGCGCTGGTGCCCAGCTACAAACTTATACCTACAGCAGAAAAATAACAAAAAAGAAGTTTATCATCCCAAATTCCAGCTGATAGGCGGCCTCAGAGCAGTGAGGAATTAACATTTCCAGGCTTGAAAATCCCAGGGTGCACCCACAGGGGGGGAAAAGCTCAGGTGGAATTGGGTAGACGATTATTTGTTGTAAACAGCTTTGTTGTGAGCAGGTGGCCTAGAAGAATAGATAAAATAAGCAAGGAGAGATATTATAAATAAATTTTAGAAGTACCCCAGGAAATTGTGATGTGTGGGGCAGCAGCACATGCACAGCTGGTGGAGATACCTGCTGTGGCCAAGAGGCTACAGTGCATTCTTGTCAATAATGGGAAATGCTTGGTTGGGAAACAAATAATGCTCACGTGTATGTTACCTGGGGCCCTTACCAAGGCAGGGGGGTTGGAACTTGATGATCTTTAAGGTCCCTTCCAACCCAAAGCATTCTGTGATTCTCTGATGATCATCCTGCTGTTCCTAAGGGAACCAAAAGTCCAAAAGGAGGAACAGCACAGATCTTCTGCTCTGGGATTGCACCCAGGTGTCTCTGCCAAGGCACGAAGCCCTGTCAGACCGGGTGCATTAGGTAACACGGAGCCTCAAGCGTCACCAAACAAGGAAGAAAAGCAGCATTTGCATGAGGAAGAAATGAGGCTCTTCATCCAGAGACAGAAAAGGAAATGCACTTTTCAAATTGCTTATAAGTGTCATGTTGCTCTGGCAAAAAAAAAGCCTTCAACAAAATGACAATTTGTCATCGATGGCAGAGGATAAACATTGATGAGAGAAATGGTTAAGCTTTGGGTTTGTTTTTTTCCCGAGTGACATTAATTTCAGAAGATGGATGACAAATGAGTATAAAGGTGTTTTTTAATTGATGAGATGTAAGGCCTGTCTAGTTCTTGATGGCCTTGAAGAGGACTTTCAGCTGCTATTGATTAGTAGCTTAAAACAACAGGAATTGTAGTGAAAAATGGAAGTGGCTATAACACAGTGCTATTCAGAATTGTCTCTCCCTATGTCCCCAAAGCGTTTGTTAACATGTGTTTGGCAGAGGTGTCCTGCCTGTGTTCTTTGAGACCATCTTCCCCTTTCTGGAGGTGCCAGATGAACTGAAGTCTGCAGTTTGACCTTAGGGGAACGGGTTTGTCTATACCCTGGCCCTGCTTTTGTGTAGTGTCAGACTATAAGCAGCACATTCACTTAAATTTACGATTCAGTAACTGGGAACAGAAAGGACAATTGATAATTATTTCCTTCTTCCCTGTTGTTTTCTTTTCTCTTAGGTATTGATCATATGGATTGCTTTTTTTATGTGAATTGTCTCTTGGTAGGGATGAAAAAAGATATTTTTAAACGTGTGAAGCCCTTGATCTTTAAACAGAAGAGTCTGGGTTCTTGGTCAATTTTCGTGAAGTTTTGTATTTTTATTTTATCAGTGAGAAATGTCATAGAAATTAGTCATGTGGGGAGTAATGTTTGTGAGATTAGAGCAAGGATTAGGCTGGGAGTGTACAGGAGGTTGGGAGGGGACACAGCCGGGAGAGCTGACCCCAATGACCAAGGGGATACCCTCCACCATATGACATTCTGCTCAGCAATAAAACCTTGGTTGAAAAGAGGAGGAAGTGGGGATGGTGAGAGTTATGGTATTTTGTCTTCCCAAGTCACCGTTAGGTGTGATGGAGCCCTGATTTCCTGGAGGTGGCTGAACACCCACCTGCCCGTGGGAAGCAGTAAATTAATTTCTGATTTTGCTTTTTTTTCCTCATGTAGCTTTGCTTTACCTATAAAACTCTATTTACCTCAACTCCCAAGTTTTCTCACCCTTGGAGGGGAGCGAGTGAGGGGCTGCATGTGAGCTACCCACCAGGGTTAACCCACAGGCCTGATTTTTGGCACCCAGTGCGGGGCCAGAAGGGTTTGAGATAACGACTGATTTGATCGGAATGTGCCAGACCAGATTTAAAGCTGATACAGCTGTTTAGCTATTAATTGGCAGGCTCCTGCACCTGTCATGGGGCTTGCTGTGCTGTATATTAGAGTGTAGTGATCGCTGGTGGCTGCTGTTTGCTGTTCTCCTTATCATCTTGCTTCCCTGTGCCTGGGAACTTTTTCATGGCAGCCCTGGACACGTGCCTGGGCTGGTGTATGGCCAGGGCAATGCTGCTGTTGCCCTCCGGCTGTTGTAGGGTTGCTGTAACTACAGTCTGAACTCCAGTTGAAGGGACTGTGACCTGTGGGTATCTCTGTGCTGGAGCAGGTACTTCCCAAAGCGTCTGGGGGCTGTGGATGGGGTGACACTGGAGGAGGCACTTCCCTATGGATGTCTGTGCCGAAGCAGGGGTGAGGGGAGGAGTTCATTGCAATATTGAACCTTATAGCCTGGTCCAAAGGGACCAGGCGTGGAGATTGCAATGGATATCTTTAAATTGTTGTAACACTTCTTTTTTTTTTTTTTTTTTTTTTAACTTGCCGTAACAAAGCTGGTGAGGGATCTGGAGAACAAGTCTTGCGAGGACCAGCTGAGGGAGCTGGGGGTGTTCAGCCTGGAGAAAAGGAGGCTGAGGGGAGACCTTCTCGCTCTCTCCAACTCCCTGAAAGGAGGGTGTAGCCAGGGGGGGTTGGTCTCTTCTCCCAAGGAACAGACGATGGGACAAGAGGAAGTGGCCTCAAGTTGCACCAGGGGAGGTTCAGATTGGAAAAATTTCGTCACTGAAAAGGTTATTGCACATTGGAATGGGCAAGAGAGTTGAAGCACATGGGAAGAGGTTGAGGCACGATCCCTGGAGGTATTGAAAAGCTGGGCAGACACAGTGCTGAGGGACATGGGTTAGTGATGTTTTTTATCAGTTATGTTGATGGTTGGACTTGATGATCTTAAAGGTCCCTTCCAACCTAGACAATTCTACGATTCTTTGATAATGCTTTGTTTGAGTTGCTTGTTCTATGAAGTACTACAGCAAGAAGCGCCTGAAGAGAAGACAAGCCTCAGGAGAAGCCTCACGAGAAGCCCTGCAAGTGTGACCCAACCTGAACGCATCTTGGGAGCGAATAATTCCACACAGCACGCTGCTTCTCCTGCCCTGAGAAAACACTGTAACAGATGGAACCCAGGTCCTGGAAGAAGTGAATTCAATGGGCGTTTTATGGACATTTTACGGACATTTTATGGGAGTGGCCCATTTACTAAGGGAATGGTATCTGGGTATAAATCACAGGATGGTTGGGGTGGGAAGGGGGGTGATTAACGGGGAAGTATTTGATAATGTGCGACCTGAGCATGACACAAATGGTATAGAATAAGGGGTAGAGATTGTACTCATTTGGGCTGTAATGGGGTTGATTTTCTTCATATCAGCTCATATGGTACTATGTTTTGGAATTTTTTTTGTGATTATAAATATTATAAATTTATTTATTACAGCTCATGTGGTGCTCAACTTTAGAATCAGATTAATGTGTGAATAGTTACACTTGCATAGCCTTAATAGGCTCTGAAGGTACATTTTCATAACAAACAACCCTTCCATCAACCGCCAAACTGAAAACCAAATAGATTTCAAATTGTACTTACACAAAACCTTTTATTTTTGTTGAATTTGATTTGGCTGTGTACTGTTTGCTTTTAATGAGTACATCTATCACTACTGAAGAAACATGTAACAAGCTGAAAAAAAAAAAGAGTGTGACAAAGATGGATTGAAACTAGACAGGAGGAATCCTCTGGTGCTAAATAGAATAGAATCACAGAATGGTTTGGGTTGGAAGGGACCTAAAAGATCATCCAGTTCCAACCCCCTGCCCTGGGCAGGGACACCTCCCACCAGACCAGGTTGCTCCAAGCCCCATCCAGCCTGGCCTTGAACCCCTCCAGGGATGGGGCAGCCACAGCTTCTCTGGGCAACCTGTTCCAGTGTCTCATCACCCTCACAGTGAAAAATTTCTTCCTCAGATCTCATCTAAATCTCCCCTCTTTCAGTTTAAAACCATTCCCCCTTGTCCTATCACTACACTTCCTCATGAATAAGGGAAGGGACTTGTAAAAACAGGCGTCACCGAGAGCAGAAGTTATGAAAACTTTCGTATTGGTTTCGATAAATGTATTTAACACTTTCTTTGAAGATAACAAATACTCTGGGTCACAAGCTTTTAACAAAATAGTTGAGCGCTTGAATTTGTGGCAGTGCTGCCTTTTATCGCTTAGCAACGTTTAACTCCTAATCACCAGTTTACCTATTGCTGTCCTTATCTTGAGATGTGACAGGTTCTCTGTGCCTGGATAGTGCTTTTCAGCCTTTGACCTTTCTGACTCCTTTTCCTGCTTACTTTGGCTTCCAGCAAAAGCTAAGATCTCGTAAGGAAAAAAAAAAAAAAAAAACAAACCCAAACCAAACCAACTATGAGCAAAGTACATACCCGCTTGAAGCAGGAGTAGCGACTTAGTCGCAGCGGACCCAGGCGGGGAAGCAATTTACGTGCAGGTCTGGGGGAAATGGAGCTTCAGGATGATCAAGGCAGATATTTCAGCGACGTGTCTTTAAATCCAGCAGAGTACACGAAGAAAAAAACCCTCAAGAAATACAAAATCATCTGTGCTGTAAGTAGGGGCTGCTCGTTTAACGATTTGCCGACTTGCAGCATTTTCAGAAGTTTCATTTTGTTAATGTAATCACTCGGAGGAGCTGGGTCACTGATGCTTGAGGTTTTACAGCGTGAGTGCACTAACTTCACTGGCAGATTTCTAAAGTTGGGACTTTAAAGTTCTGATACTTTTCAAGCTAACCAGATTTTTTTTTTCCTGGCACTTTTTCTTTTATTACAATAACCTGACAGGGTTTTTTTTGCACAGCAAAGACATGGCTTCAATACTTCATTCTATACGTTTGCTTAAAAATGATGTGTTTATAGCCAAAGCAGCTGACTTTTTTTTATCTTTGACTTTGGCATTAACAAAAGAGAAGGTGTGGGCAAGGCAGTGGGGAAACCACTCAGGAAGCCAGGCATGGGAAAAGGCTAATGAACCGTTTCCTACACCATTGTCAGCCCCACATCTCAAATATCCTGTCAACTCCTTCCCTCTTCCCCAGGGCTTTAAGAATCATGTGGGCTGCCTTGTAAATAATAAGAATGTTTATAAAATCTTTTGTTGTAGCCAATACGCAGTTTTAAACTTGTTTGTGACCACAAGAGAAACTTTAAATGTGTGTATATATATATATATGTATATGTTTATGTTTGCACAAGATCCTGCACCTGTCAATTGGAATTTGGAGAAAATGGCAGGTCTGATTTTGGAAAGACCCAAAAGTTAATTTTACAAACATACCTTTGAAAAAGAGAGTCAGGTTGTGATACTCTTCGGTTCTCTGTCATCCGACCAATTCACTTGCTACAACTTCCTATTTAATGCTGCATTGTGCAAAGATTGCATAAAATATGAGGGCAATATTGAAATTGAGGAGAAAAAAAAAAGAGAAGATAACAGACTTTTTTCCCTCTAAGTTTTCAGTAAAAATAATGTGTCATGAGAAACAATGTGGAAAAATTAACTAACTACAAAGAAAAGTAAATTATGCTTTCAAGAGGTACTTGGAAAAGCAAAGCAAGAAATTTAAGTACCCTAAACCACATTCATTCTTCCAAATGTACTAGTATTCAAAGGTCTGCATCAATGAAAAAACCCCAAAATGTAAATATTGGAGGTGTAAACAATTAATATTCTACCCCATTTATCTCTGTTTTGATAAACTGTATGCATGAAGTACTTTCCTTGGCAACTTTTTCCTGAAAGCTTAGGCAGGGAATTGTGCACTCTCTAATAAATCCTCCAGAGAACAGAGCATATGTGTTAGGAACAACTTTTTTATTAGTAAGCATAGTTCTGAATTTACACATAGAAATTAGCTCTGGAAAGACTGAGGATTTATTTGAGTAGGTACTGCCAATGTTTTTTCACCTTGAGGATGAATGTCCTAAAATCAAGGGCATTTTGTGTAAATGCTGTAATAAATGCAGCATCTCATCTGTATACATACAGTGAGTTTGGGGTTTTTATTTCGACTCTCTCATTGCTTGCAGCAGTGGGGATGTTTGCTCCTGTCATAGCTGTGCTTTCAATTTAGTATCATCTATTTATTTCCATTAAAAATGTGAGTTTTCGTGAAAATGGAAGGTGAAACCATCGTGAACTTTGTAGTGAGGAGTGCACGCTCTGGTGAATGGGCTGGTCTGTACCCAGTAAAACAAGACCTGCTGGGTTTCCCTGGCAGAGTCATCCTCTCTCACCCAGAAGGAGTGGCCACTGTTCACCCCCTGATTCTCAGTCCTTGCTGACTGCACGTAGGATTAAGGTCCAGGGAGACATTAGAGCCCCTTCCAGTCCCTAAAGAGGCTCCAGGAGAGATGGGGAGGGACTCTTGACCAGGGAGTGGAGTGATAAGATGAGGGGTAATGGTTTTAAACTGAAAGAGGGGAAATTTAGATGAGAACTCTGGAAGAACTTCTTTGCTGTGAGGGTGGTGAGAGCCTGGCCCAGGTTGCCCAGAGAAGCTGTGGCTGCCCCATCCCTGGAGGGGTTCAGGGCCAGGCTGGATGGGGCTTGGAGCAACCTGGTCTGGTGGGAGGTGTCCCTGCCCAGGGCAGGGATTTGGGACTGGATGATCTTTAAGGTCACTTCCAAATCGAATTATTTTCTATGATTCTATGAAATACTCTGAGAGGGTTTGTCGCTTGTCACTCTGCCTGTCACCACTCACCTTGAGTGTCTGTTAAGCTGACGGAGGCCGCCTCAGCTCTTCCTCAGCCTCCCAAACGTTACCCTGCTTTCTACTATGAGGTTTCCTTGGGCTGTTTGTCCCTTTCCAGTTTCCTCTCACCTCACTGCCGGGGTGACTTACCACGAGAGACTGGCACATGGATGACAGTGGGGCACTTGCAGCCTCAGTCCTGCTGCATCTCTTAAGAAATCCCTGTGAGCATTTCAGGAAAATGCAGAAACTAAATAAAAGCTTATCTTAACACTTTCTCTTTGCACAGATTAATAATTTGCAGAACAGGTAAAGATGTTTATACCCTCCTACCACCCTTTCCCCAGAAAAGACTTCCCCAATTACACCGTGGGGCTGGCCATAGGTTAAAAGCGTGGCACTAAGGCGTTGGTTTGTAAGCAGTTCACAAGGTTATCACTCTTGTGCCTTCTCCAACCTTCAGGCTCGGAACGTCTTGATTTTTTGATGAACAAGTTCACAGGAATCATTAGTTCGTAAGAAATTGCACGCTCATAGAAATGGAATCATACAATCACAGAACTGCCGAAGTCGGAAGGGACCTTCCAGACCATCCAGCCCAACCATCAAAATAATAATCACACGGTTAATTTCTAATAAGCCTAACAGTTTATCACAATTGTCAACTTTAATTTTGGTGTGTCTGTGTGACAGGTTCTGGTGTGCGCTTTGGTGGCTGTGTCCCTGGGATTAGGTTTAGGACTAGGACTGAACCGTGGAGTCCAGGAGCAAGGTACGTTTATATTTTCAGCTTAATTAATGCTGAGGCTAGAGCTGGTAAAAGCCTTTAGCAGAGGCTCTGTTATAGCATGATGTAAATGCTCTGTGAAAACTTATTGCCTATGAAAATAAAGCTCTTTCGGTTTTCAAGTTTGATTGTATAAAACCTCATAATCTATACTTGAAAAACCTATCCTATAACCACTGTGTAACTTGGTTCTCTTTCCAGAAGTGTTAAATCTAGTTTACAACAGCTTTGAAAATTTTATCATAATAATATTTAAAAAATTTGAGATAGGTTGTACCTTATTACATGTATTACCTTGGAATTATTTAAGCAATATGTTTTGTAGAAGAGATATTATTGGACCATCTTAGGGACTGACCCTTTGGGTATGTTTGGCATAGTCCAGGTGGCTAATGTTAAAACTGATAACGAATTTTCTCTGAAAACATCAATTTCTGTAAAGCTATGGTGAAATGGGGACAATGCTTTGATTTAGTAGAATGTTATTTTTTTAGTTAGGAAAATGAAGTAGCATTCTGATGTCCGGGTTCAAGCCGGATGAGAAAAGCACAGCACATGGTGAATTAAATAAAACTGGTGCTGGAGGCTTGTGGTCTCAGGAGAAGGGACCTGGAAAGGAGTCAGGAGGACCTGTCATTCTGTGTGTTTAAAAATTAGCCCAGGTTTTGCATTGCATATCATTTGCAATTGATAGTGCAATTGATTATGTTTGTTTACCCAAAGTAAATTTCCTTATAGCTCCTGTAATTGTAGCGATGATTCCAAATAGAAGTTAATGAAATACAAAATTCCTGACTTTGCACAGTTATGTAAATATTGTAAAGAAATTAGAAGCACTGAAGGTTGCAAATTAATCACAGAATCACCGTGGTTGGAAGGGACCTCTGAGTTCATCGAGTCCAACCTCAAAAAAAACCACAAAACCAAACCAAACAAACAGAAAAACCACAACAACAAAACAAAAAGAGTTCATCGAGTCCAACCTCAAAAAAAACCACAAAACCAAACCAAACAAACAGAAAAACCACAACAACAAAACAAAAACAGCAGAACAAAAACCACAACACCCCACCACATCACACCCACCCACAAAACCAATAATCGTGGGCACTAGAGCATGCCCTGAAGAGCCATGTCTACACCTTTCTTAAATACCTCCAGGGATGGTGACTCCGCCACCTCCCTGGGCAGGCTGTTCCAGTGCCTGACCACTCTCTCAGTAAAGTAATTCTTCCTAATATCTAATCTAAACCTCCCCTGCTGCACCTTCAGACCATTTCCTCTGGTCCTGTCATTATTCCCTTGGGAGAAGAGGCCAAGACCCACCTCTCTACAACCTCCTTTCAGGTAGCAATGAAGTCTCCCCTCAGCCTCCTCTTCTCCAAACTAAACATGCCCAGTTCCCTCAGCCTCTCATAGGACTTTTTCTCCAGACCCCTCACCAGCTTGGTGGCTCTCCTCTGGACACAATCCAGCACTTCAATGTCCTTCCTGTAGTGAGGGGCCCAGAACTGAACACAGTACTCAAGGTGAAGCCTCACCAGCGCTGAGTACAGATGCACGATGACTTCCCTACTCCTGCTGGCCACGCTATTCCTGGTACAGGCCAGGATGGCGTTGGCCTTCTTGGCCACCTGGGCACACTGCTGACTCATGTTCAGCCGGCTGTCCACCAACACTCCCAGGCCTTTTTCTGCTGAGCAGCTTTCCAGCCACTCTTCCCCAAGCCTGTAGCGTTGCCTGGGGTTGTTGTGACCGAAATGCAGGACCCGGCACTTGGCCTTATTAAACCTCATCCCATTGGCCCTGGCCCATTGATCCAACCTGTCCAGGTCCCTCTGTAGAGCCTCTGACCCTCAAGCAGATCAACACTCCCACCTAGTTTGGTGTCATCTGCGAACTTACTGAGGGTGCACTCCATCCCCTTATCTAGATCATCAGTAAAGATATTAACCAAGACTGGCCCCAAAACTGAGCCCCGAGGGACACCACTGATGACCGGTTTTCACCCCATTAATCACAACTCGCTGGGCACGGCCATCCAGCAAGTTTTTTATCCAGTGAAGGGTACACTTGTCTATGCCATGATTCGCCAGTTCCTCCAGGAGAGTGCCGTGGGGGACGGTGTCAAAGGCCTTACCAGAGTCCAGATAGACAACGTCCACAGCCTTCCCCTCTGAGAAAGCGGGTCACATGGTCGTAGAAAGAGATCAAGTTGGTTAAACAGGACCTCCCTTTCATAAACCCATGCTGGGTGGCCCTGATCCCTTGCCTGCCCTGCACTTGCCATGAGAGCTCACCCAAGATGATCCTCCCCATGATCTTTCCCAGTGCCAAGGTCAGGCTGACAGGCTTATAGTTTCCCAGATCCTCCTTCCGGCCCTTCTTGTAGATGGGCATCACATTGGCCACCTTCCAGTCATCTGGTGCCTCTCCTGTTGACCAGGATTGTTGATAGATAATGGAGAGAGGCTTGGTGAACTCCCCTGCCAGCTCCCTGAGTACCCTTGCGTGAATTCCATCTGGCCTCATAGACTTATGTGTGTCCAGGTGCATAAGCAAATCATTAACTACTTCCTCCTGGATTACAGGGGATTTGTTCTGCTTCCCATCCTTATCTTCCAGCCCAGGAGGCTGAATACCCTGGGAGTAGCTGGTCTGACAATTAAAGATGGAGGCAAAGAAGGCATTAAGTATCTCAGCCTTCTCCTCGTCCTTGGTCACAATGTTTCCCCCGGCATCCAGTAAGGGATGGACGTTCTCCCTGACTCTCTTTTTGTTGACATATTTATAGAAACTTTTTTTGTTGTCCCTTATATTAATGGCCAAGTTGAGTTCCAGCTGGGCTTTTGCCTTCCTAATTTTTTCTCTGCATAACCTAACAAGATCTCTGTACTCCTCCTGAGTTGCCTGTCCCCTCATCCAAAGGTGGTAAACCTTCCTTTTTTCCTTAAGTGCCATCAAGAGCAATTTGTTCCTCCAGGCTGGCCATTTTCCCCACCCTTTAATTTTGCACCTCTTGGGGGCAGCCTGCTCCTGGGACTTTAGGATTTCCTTCTTGAAGAGTGTCCAGCCTTCCTGGACCCCTTTGCCCCGCAGGACTATCTCCCAAGGGACTCTCCCAACCAGCGTTCTGAACAGGCTAAAGTCTGACCTCTGGAAGTCCAAGGTGGAGGTGTTGCTAACCCCCTTCCTTACCTCACTAAGAATTGAAAACTTGAACATTTCATGATCGCTAAGCCCAAGACGGCCTCCGACCTCCACATCTCCCACTAGCCCTTCTTTGTCTGTGAAAAGTAGGTCTAGTGAGGCACCTCCCCTGGCTCACCTACCAGTTGTGTCAGGAAGTTATCTTCCATACACTCAAGGAACCTCCTAGCCTGCCTGCTCTCTGCTGTGTTATGTTTCCAGCAGATGTCTGGTAGGTTGAAGTCCCCAATGAGAACAAGGGCTGGTGTTTGCAAGACTGCAGCCAGCCGTTTATAGAATACTTCATTGACCTGCTCATCCTGGTTGGGTGGTCTATAGCAGACTCCCAGCACAAAATCACCCTTGTTAGCCTTCCCTTTCACTCTTACCCATAAACACTCAACTTCACCTTCACTGGAGTCTATCTCTATACAGTCAAAACACTCCCTAATGTACAGAGCTGAATTATGAGAGGTATGGACAGTTCAGAGGAAAAGGTTTATATTTTTTCTGACTTAGACTCACCATGCTACATATCCTGTATCATTTTAAATCAGGTAGACCATTTGAACAACTTTGAGTTGTTCAAAAGTCAGTGGACAGAGGAAAAATGAAATGAAACTCTCTAAACTTCAGCCAGAAAAAGCATAGAAAAATTGTTTGCATATGTTTATGTGCATTTGTGAAAAATCATAGCTATTTCTTGACAGAACATATTCCAGCCATAAAACACTCAGCTCTCAATTACTTATTTCCATCTCTACTTTTGACAGTTCTGTTCATGCTCATGACATATATTGGGTTTTATTCTAATTATTTGAAACCTTTCTTGTGGTGAACAGTAGTTGCTGATGTAGGCACTTAAAGCACAAGGTGCAACACTGAACTTTCTAAGTGTGAAACAAGCTGATTAGCTTGCCAAAAATTATTTTATCTCTAAAAGGTTTCTACACAGTGGATATTAAAGCCTGAATTTTGTAGGCAGTGCACCCTGCAAAAACATGAACCTTTTGGCAACTGTAATAGAAGTGTACCAGCAGATTGCTCCAAGCCCCATCCAGCCTGGCCTTGAACCCCTCCAGGGATGGGGCAGCCACAGCTTCTCTGAGCAACCTGTTCCAGTGTCTCACCACCCTCACAGGAAAAAATTTCTTTCTAGTATCTAATCTAAATCACTCCTTTTTCAGTTTAAAACCGTTCCCACTCAGCCTATCAAGAACATATTCCAGCCATAAAACACTCAGCTCTCAATTACTTATTTCCATCTCTACTTTTGACAGTTCTGTTCATGCTCATGACATATATTGGGTTTTATTCTAATTATTTGAAACCTTTCTTGTGGTGAACAGTAGTTGCTGATGTAGGCACTTAAAGCACAAGGTGCAACACTGAACTTTCTAAGTGTGAAACAAGCTGATTAGCTTGCCAAAAATTATTTTATCTCTAAAAGGTTTCTACACAGTGGATATTAAAGCCTGAATTTTGTAGGCAGTGCACCCTGCAAAAGCATGAACCTTTTGGCAACTGTAATAGAACTGCACCAGCAGGTTGCTCCAAGCCCCATCCAGCCTGGCCTTGAACCCCTCCAGGGATGGGGCAGCCACAGCTTCTCCAGGCTACCTCTTCCAGGCTCTCCCCACCCTCAGAGGAAAGAATTTCTTTCTAGTAACTAATCTAAATCACCCCTCTTTCAGTTTAAAACCGTTCCCACTCGGCCTATTGCTCCACTCCTTCATAAAGAGTCCCAAAATGACTTGGGAAAACAGATTTGGGAAGTTATTCAGCACAATTCTCCTGTGTCTTCATGATCTGTGTCTGGGCCAGGGTTGCTTGAGGACTCAGACTCAATGCCTTCTCCTTACAGTCAGCTGCAGGCACAAGTGTCATGAGCCGCACGGGGAATCGGTGCCCGGCTGCCGGTGCGACAGCAGCTGCAAGGGGCGTGGGGACTGCTGCTGGGACTACGAGGACACCTGCGTGGAGCCAAGTATGTTCCCTTCCAGGCAATGTTCACTGGCTTCCATTTTATATTGTGTTTGGGTTTTTTCATGTGGTGGTAATAGGAAAAGGATAAATTCTCGTGTTTACGTAGATGCACCGAAGTTCATAGAATCATCGAATGGTTTGGGTTGGAAGGGACCTTAAAGATCATCCAGTTCCAACCCCCTGCCCTGGGCAGGGACACCTCCCACCAGACCAGGTTGCTCCAAGCCCCATCCAGCCTGGCCTTGAACCCCTCCAGGGATGGGGCAGCCACAGCTTCTCTGGGCAACCTGGGCCAGGCTCTCACCACCCTCACAGTCAAGAATTTCTTCCTAAGTTATGTCACATTCCCTCAGGGAGGGAAGGACACGATGGTGTGGAGCTGCTTCTGTACTCGCATGGCTAGAAGGCATAATGTGGTGACCTGACAGAACACGAAATCTTCCAGAGTCTTTCTCAAGTCAGATCACCATATTTTTGTCTCCCTGTGGATAACCCAAAACATTTGCAGTGTGTGTTTCCTGGCCCAGATAAAGCTGTGAATGACCGTGAGCAGAAATCATAGGTTATCTTTGAGTGGGGCTCTGAAACGGTGCTGCTGTGTCCACTTCTCTTGTGTTTGGGAAACAGGTGGGTGTTTCCCAACCAGGTTCATTCTCAGCCTGATGGAGGGCTCAGTGGGGACCCTCTTCTTCCCTTGCATCTCTGCTGTCTGCCAGGGATCACATGCAAGCATAGGGAAAAAGCTCCGTTGCCTTCTCTTTCTCTTCTGTAGGAGAAATATGGCCCTGTGGATAACCCAAAACATTTGCAGTGTGTGTTTCCTGGCCCAGATAAAGCTGTGAATGACCGTGAGCAGAAATCATAGGTTATCTTTGAGTGGGGCTCTGAAACGGTGCTGCTGTGTCCACTTCTCTTGTGCTTTGGGAAAGGGGTGGGTGTTTCCCAACCAGGTCCATTCTCAACCTGATGGAGGGCTCAGTGGGGACCCTCTTCTGCCCTTGCATCTCTATTTTTTGCTGTCTGCCAGGGATCACATGCAAGAATAGGGAAAAGGCTCCGTTGCCTTCTCTTTCTCTTCTGTAAGAGAAATATGTGCTCCGTTGCCTTCTCTTTCTCTTCTGTAGGAGAAATATGGGTTTGACTGGATTTTTTTAGGTCTTCCCAGAAGGGTGGAAGGGATTGAACAGGGTGACTTTGGGGACACCTTTGTAAAATTAATTATTCTATGACTTTGTGATACCATTCAATGCTTTGAGAATGCAAATAATGCAAGGAAATAGGCTTTATCTTTAGTTTTGCTTTCAGATAAAACTTAGATAAATCAACTCAAGCAGGACATATAAATTTTAGTTTAATGAAAACCACGTCATCTTTTTTTTTTATTTATTTATTTTACCCGTTTGGGGGATTTCCACACAAAGGAGTTTACATAAGGTTCTGTGAAGCAAATCATAATATTTTTTCTTCCAATTTTCAGCCCGGTCTTGGAGGTGCACGAATTTCCGTTGTGGTGAGACACGGATAGCTGGAAGTCACTGTTCGTGTTCCGATGACTGCTTGCAGAAAAAAGACTGCTGTGTAAACTATAACAGCATTTGCAAAGGTAAATCAAAAGTGAAAAAGATTTATATATAAACTGTCCTGTGAAATAAACAGGTGGGAAAACATAGCAAATATAAAGGTAGATGCATTTGTTTCTCGGGATTAGAGTCTTACAGTGCTGTTTTGGAAAACAAAGATGTTTTAGGTGAAGCTTTTTGGTATTTTTGACTGGGAAAAAGATGGTTTCTGGAGAACAATGTGAATGTGTTTAATATCTTTGTTGGCGACATGGATGGTGGGATCGAGTGCACCCTCAGCAAGTTTGCTGATGACACCAGGCCGTGTGACGCAGTCAACATGCTGGAGGGAAGGGATGCCATCCAGAGGGACCTGGACAGGCTGGAGAGGTGGGCCTGTGCCAACCTCATGAGGTTCAACGAGGCCAAGTGCAAGGTCCTGCACCTGGGTCAGGGCAATCCCAGGCACAAGTCCAGGCTGGGCAGAGAATGGATTGAGAGCAGACCTGAGTAGAAGGACTTGGGGGTGTTGGTGGGTGAGAAGCTCAACATGAGATCATAATATGTGCTGGCAGCCCAGAAAGCCAACCTCATCCTGGGCTGTATCAAAAGAAGGGTGGCCAGCAGGGCGAGGGATGTGATTCTACCCCTGTACTCTGCTCTGGTGAGACCCCACCTGGAGTACTGTGTCCAGCTTTGGAGTCCTCAGCACAGGAAGGACATGGATCTGTTGGAGCAGGTCCAGAGGAGGCCACAAAGATGCTCAGAGGGCAAAAATTATCATAAATGAGTACAGCTGTAAAGCAGGTGGAGAATATTCAAAGGAGAACAGAGAGAATTGCTTGACATTTGGAAGCTGTAGTCAACGATGAAAGACTGAAGGAGCTTAGGCCTTTTGCAGAAAAAAAAAAAGGGTGAAGCGAGCCCTGGCAATCATCTGTGTACAGAATACAGTTTCAATGTTTTCCATTTAAAACCAAATAAAACTTAGGCTAAACTTTTATAGTGATTTCTTAATTTTGTTTGCTTGTCTGTGTAGTATTACATGTTTTGATTTCAACTTCCAATTGTAAGCATTCGCCCTTTCAGCGTTTGAGGGCCTGATGGGCTGCACTAAATTATTTCTAAAGGTGTCTTTAAGCCCACATTTCTACAATTCAGTATTGAAGCAGAAAAAGTACAAGGAAGAGCTTGAAAGAAATCAACCAGGAAAATTCTTTGCTGTTTGCTTGGGGTTTTTAATGCTGACTCAGTATTTTTTTTGTACTTTTAGGTGAAATACCTTGGGCGGAAGAACCATGTGTATCACTTGAAACTCCTCAGTGTCCAGCCGGGTAAGATAAAGTAATTTTGCCTTCTTAGCAAATAAAAACATTGTGAGGGTCACAAATACTCCAGTGGCAGGTTTTCATGAGGCTTTTGTATTTACTGACAATAAGGCTCCTATTCTATAGGAATATTTATAGAAGTAGTTTGTGGCTCGTAATGTTTTTTCTTTCTAAAACCTTTGTCATTTTGGTTGCACGTTCATTGATCATTTACAGTTCAGAGCAGAGTACAGGAGTTCAAATCCAGTTTGCAAAGACCTGAAAAATTGTTGATTACCACAAGGTTCATATATCACAAATTGTTCATAGTCCACTTTATGTTACCATATTGTGTCTCTGATAATTCAGCCAAATCACCTTATGCAAGCTGTAATAATTGCTAGAATCTGTGGTTGCAATTCTTTATCTAAGTAACAGGGTGTTGTTTTTTTCTTAACTTGAATTATCTTCAGGAAGAAAGGCATGTTAAAAGGGAAGGTATGAAAATAACTGTGTATCTACAAATGCTGAAACATGGTAATTCTGATTTCCACCTGTAGATATTTTGCTATTCATGTAGTATTGCATAATCATAGGTAGAGACCAGACAGAAACGCAGGGTAAAAGGTGTTCTCAAATTAAAATGGATTGTTTTCTGGTTCGGTTATGGTATTTGTGATGTTATCCGTTATTCTATCTATTTTACTGCCAATTTAGTTTAATTATAACAATAATACCTTTAGTATTGTGGCCTCTTCATGGGTTCCTGCATGGGCCTCCCAGCACCGAGGCCAGTTGACTCCAACTGCTTGTTGAGTGACTGCTCTATTTAGACAGTCCTTGTGCTGCTGCCCTGAAATATTTTTTTAAGATGCATTAAAAGATGAGACAGAATTCAGCCCATTGCTATGTACAGAGCCACTTTCACTGTTCTATTTCTATACTCCGGGCTTTTCTTTGGATGCTAGTCTGCAGCATTTGTATTTATTTGTATTTGTAATTAAAAGATTAACAAAGCCCCATTTCTTTTTCGAGGTTCTGTATATACACAGTAGCTTGTATTTTATTCCTCCAGTGGTTTTCTTTCAGGAGGATTTTGTGTTTGCTTTCAAAATTGAACTACTTGTTTATCTCACGCTGTGATATCAATTCTGAGAAATACATGGAAATTCTGCATCCTGCTTTTAAAAGTAAAATTTTTATTGTTAAAGATCTTAACAAGTTACTATCTCTCCAAACTCCTTTATGATGACAAACTCATATTTTCTTGTAGGTTTGATCTGCCACCAGTTATCCTGTTTTCAATGGATGGGTTTAGAGCAGAATACTTGGAAACCTGGAGTTCTTTGCTGCCAAATATTGAAAAACTCAGTAAGTTACCAGGAGTGCTTTGACTATTTTCTTTAAAAGTCAGCACATAACCACTCCAGTCCCTTTTGCTGCTGCCATGCACGTATGTTGCTCAGCAACAAGAAAATCACAAATCAGGTTTCCCTCATTAGTTGTATATTGTCATTATTCTAACGTTCTCCATTAATTCTTGTATTTGAGTGCACAGCAAACATGGCTTTTTAAATAAGGTCTCTAATACTGGTCAGGAGCTTTTTACTAAATAAAGAATTTGAAATGTACCTTTGAATACAGTCTAAGACTGAAAAATAATTCCAGAGAAGTATTTCCTATGTTCTCTGTACTCCATTGAAAAATTCTAGCTGTTAAGGAGATCATAATTTTATATGTATATTATGAAAAGAAAATGCATTGGGTTATTGGGAAATTTTCCTCAAAGATGCACTTTTCCAAATCAGCTATTTTAAGATAATAAAGAGAAGCTGCATATTTAAAAGGATGTCAGTGAATATTATTATATTAGACTTAAATGCAATGTAATCTACATATTGGTATAACAATATATTTATATGATTGCAGTAGCATTCAAGTAACTGTTTCCCAGTATTTCTGAATATTGGGAGAGAGAGTAAGTTGAAGATATTTAGCTTGTCCCTAAGGCGCTCTAAAAAGTGAGATGTATTAGTGCACACTTCATTAAAATTTTCTGAATATTTTAGAGCTGGACAAATAGGACTTTGTAGCTGGACAAAATCGCTACATATTTATTGATTTCCTCTTGGAAGTAATAGTTTAAATTGACAGTGTTTCTGTCTGTTCTGAATATTGTGCACATTTGAAAACTTATTGATGTTACTAAGTACTATGTTTTACTGAATAGTTAACGATCTTGTTTGTGGATACTGACGGCATCCAGAAACCTGAACTGGAAGCTGTGTGCAAACCTGACCTCTTGTGCAAATATTTTCTTCTTTGGTGTCATTCTGACATTGCAAGGAGCTTAAACCAGTGAAGAAATCAGGGATGCAGAAGTCAGTGTTCAGTTCCAGTCTTTTTGAAACAGGTGAAAAGGAAATGCCAAATTGACAAAAGGCATGAAATCCGTGCTACGTCTACATTTCCAAGAAATCCTTTCAAGCAAGAACAGATCTAATTCAGCATTACTCATATTTGGGGTCAATTTTAACAATTGCTTATGCACATTCATGCTTATAATTCCCAGAAATCTACAGGAGAAAGGAAAGGGAAATTTCTTTCTTCGCAAAAGAAAAAAATTAATGCTGATTTGTAGCATAAAATATTTCCTCTTGATTAACTCCATTACCCTAGGATTTTTAGTAGAGTTAATCAAGCTAGTTCATTTAGAATATGTACAGTATGAATGTAGCTCCCTTACTGCTGAAGAGAAATCCATACAAAATTATGCTGAGTTTCTCATGTATTTGTGAATTATTCAGCCCTTCTTTAAACACTCTTTAAGTCTTTTTTTTTCTGTTCTGCACCAGAACAGGCTTTCATTGTTTAGTTGATGTCGCTTAGTTATAATCAGTTTCTGTTCTTTGACTGAAACACTGTACATCAAAGAATAAAGTGTGTTTGGGTGTGAATCAAGTAATCATCTGACTGCAGCTTAATACAGAACGGTTTCTCCACACGAGCTAGATTAAAAAATGTCATTAATGCAACTGCCAATCTTCACACCTTTGTTTTGTGGGTAAATAAGTTGGACACTGCAGTGGATTTAGATATTGCAGATGATCAGGTGTGCCCTCAGACACTGCAGTGGATTTAGATATTGCAGATGATCAGGTGTGGTCAGTGCCCTCGATTGCTGAAAAGTGATGCAATATTTGGAGTAAAGGTGGGATGCCTGGGGCAGAGCAGGACACCTACATTTAGATATATTCTTGGAGATGTCTGCATTGTGCAACCTGGTCTAGTGGGAGGTGTCCCTGCCCAGGGCAGGGGGGTTGGAGCTGGATGATCTTTAAGGTCCCTTCCAACTCTAACCATTCTATGATTCTATGTGAGTTGTCTACATGGTCACTGTAGTCAGTGTGTTTATGTCCAACTCTAACCATTCCATGATTCTATGTGAGTTGCCTACATGGTCACTGTAATCAGTGCATTTATAATTAGTACAGTCTGTACAGTGCAATGCAGGAACCTGGAGTGCAAGTCAGTGCAACTGACAGACAGAGGGTGCCACAGGACAAATTGTTGCCTTAACCTATGTTTCTAGTGTCCTTCAGGCTGCTGTGGCATATCCTAGGTGGCCTTCAGAACCTGTGTCAGGAGGACACAGGCCTTCCAGTGATCTTGCATCAAAACTGCCAGCTTTCATGCAGATGTCTTGGATCTCCGGTTCAAGAAGGACAGGGAACTATTGGAGAGGGTACAACAAAGAGCTATGATGATGCTTAGGGCATTAGAACAACTCTCGTTCATGCAGATGTCTTGGATCTCCGGTTCAAAAAGGACAGGGAACTATTGGAGAGGGTACAGCAAAGAGCTATGAAGATGATTAGGGGATTAGAAAAACTCTCTTATGAGGAAAGGCCGAGCGATTTGCGTCTTTTTGGTCTGGAGAAGCGAAGACTGGGGGGGGATCTGATCAATACCTATAAATACTGAAAGGGTGGGTGTCAGGAGGATGGGGCCAGGCTTTTTTCAGGGGTGCCCAGGGACAGGACAAGAGGGAACAGGCACAAACTTGAACATGGGAAGTTCCACCTAAACATGAGGAGGAACTTCTTTCCTGTGAGGGTGGCAGAGCCCTAGAAGGGGCTGCCCAGAGAGGTGGTGGAGTCTCCTTCTCTGGAGACATTCCAAACCCACCTGGACAGATTCCTGTGCAACCTGCTCTGGGTGGACCTGCTCTGGCAGGGGGTTGGACTAGATGATCTCCAGAGGTCCCTTCCAGCCTCTACCATTCTGAGACTCTGTGATGTCTGAGGGTGTTTCAAATGGCACCAGGCTCCTTCATTCTTCATCACCAGACAGCCCTGAGGAATGTCTTGCCTGGGTTGACCTGAAGCTTCTGTCTCATTGTGTAAACACATCCAGTGCCATTTTGGGTCTCAGAAGTATCTGAGATGCCCATTTGGGGTGGCAGACTTGATTGAGGAGCAGCATCTGAAGGCCAGGCAGGCTCATTAAAGATGTCCCAAATGGCCCTAGGCTTTAGGGAGCTGAGTGGAGTGTCCAGGGTCCATTGACTGCAGTGGGACAGTAGGATTAGCTCAGAAGGAGACACCAGTGCCATTTTGGGTCTCAGAAGTATCTGAGATGCCCATTTGGGGTGGCAGACTTGATTGAGGAGCAGCATCTGAAGGCCAGGCAGGCTCATTAAAGATGTCCCAAATGGCCCTAGGCTTTAGGGAGCTGAGCTGAGTGTCCAGGGTCCATTGACTGCAGTGGGACAGTAGGAGTAGCTCAGAAGGAGACACCAGAATGTATGTATCTTAATTTAGAGTCACATTTCTCCTCTAATACTACAGCGACAGACTGTGGTGATTTTCTGGGTTTTTTTTTTTAGAACCGTTAATTTTCAATTAAAGAAGACTATATATTTATATTAATTCCGTGATCTGTTGCAGAAACCTGTGGCACACATTCAAAATACATGAGAGCCGCTTACCCCACAAAAACCTTTCCCAACCACTATACCATTGTCACAGTAAGTGAGAATTTGCTAATTTTCCTTTTCATTATCCGGGTGACACAGAAAGCACTATACCATTGTCACAGTAAGTGAGAATTCACTAATTTTCCTTTTCATTATCCGGATTTTGTGGTTTTGTGGTGCCAAGGAATTGACTAATTGTTTTGAGGGATGTGGGAGCTCAAGCTGTGGGAGGGAATAGGGGGAGAGATGCTGAGATATTACATGCAGGCATGAGCTGTGGGGCTATATATATTTATTTTTGCTGTCTGATTCTGGCCTGTGAACTGGTTATTCTGGTGATGTTGGATATTGGGTGACTATTGGGTATGGGTGAATGATTGGATAAGGCTGAAAATGGGTGAGGACACAGCCTTTTGATGAGCATGCATATTATGATGGGTTTGGCAGCTGATATATAGACACGTGACACATAATGTACTTAATCTATAGCACATCAAGTTTTATTTGGTCTGGGGAGAAAATAGGGAAACTACAGGAAACTTGACAGGCACGCTGAATTCGTGGCAGGAATCTGATGATCTGTGTGAAGGAGTAAAATATGTTCCATTTAAACATAGTTGAGGCTTCATCTGATTTCAAGATTCATGGTTTTTTTTGTTGTTGTTTATTTTCATTTTGCAGGGATTGTATCCAGAATCTCATGGTATTATTGATAACAACATGTATGATGTAAACATGGACAAAAGTTTCTCGCTTTCAGGGACGGAAAAGTTTGACCCTTCATGGTGGAAGGGGCAGCCAGTAGGTTTATTTCTCATCATTATTTCTCATTTCTTTATGTCTAGAGTGGCTCGTGTGCCATGTTATAAAACAAAGCAAAAATAAAATAAAATGCAAAGCAGTGTGATACATTTGCAGTACTTGCTAAATATCCCATAGGCTTCATGTTATAGGCTGACTACAAAATGGTTAGGTTTCTATGAAGGTAAAAGAACCCTTAAAAATCTTAATTATGAGACTTAAAAATCTCTCTTAATGTGGCAGTTAGTGAAAAAGACAAATATTTTGGCTAGTATTGGAATGGAAATCTTGCCACAGGAAGCCACAGTAAATTTTTTATATGGTTTTATTGTGGGGTTTTATTCTTTTCATCTTTAATTCTTTTCAGATTTCAAAATGAAATCTGACAATCTACTTCCAAATTATATCCATTTACGAATACTCTCGCAAAGTCCAGGCGTATAAAAGCAATGAAGAGAATAGCAAGAATCTTAATTTCCAGCAAAATGAACACTTGTTTATAACGTATGGCACATTTCAAAAAAATCCCTAAAACCCCTCCATCCTGATTGTGCCTATGGTTATGACTAATATTAGTAATTTACTAGAAATATCAAGTTGTAATAACAGTACAAAAATGTAAAAAACCCCACGTGGTGTATAGTATATCTACTAAATGCATATTTATATATTTATTTATATGATTGTGTATGTATATATGTCTGTGTAGCCACGTTTATGGTACGATTGTGTATGTATATATGTCTGTGTAGCCATGTTTACGGTACTCAAGTACCCAGGTTTTGGTGCTGTTGTTTCATGAAGGATTTTGTCAGGTTTGTAACAGAACCACACCTGCACTCGTTAAGATGAATAGAAATTTGCCCTTATAATAAAGTCATATAACTAGAATCCTAGAATAGAATAGAATAGAATGACTATTTCAAATGGAAAGGACCCACAGCGATCATCTAGTCCAACTGCCTGAGCAATTCAGGGCTGACCAAGCGTGTTTTTAAGGGCATTTTCCAAATGCCTCTTAAACACTGACAGTCCTGGAGGCTGGACCACCTCTCTAGGAAGCCTTTTCCAGTGTTTGACCACCCTCTTGGAGAAGAAATGCTTCCTAGTGCTAAGTCTGAACATCCCTGACGCAGCTTTGAACTATTCTTCCATCTCCATGACCTGTTCCATCCGCAATTGCCACAAGAAAAAAAAAGATCACAATCTGTTGCCAATTATGATTTTTTTTCTATGCTGAGAATACCCAAGAAATGGCAAGACCCTGGATTCCCTGCTAATGAGTTTTCTTCAGAACGTATATGGAGAAAACAAACTTCAAATCAGATATGGTCATTAGGTGACTGCGTGATATGTGAAAGAAGAAAGAGAAATGCATACTCGCAGCCCATATTTCTGACCCAATTCTGTATTTTTACTTTGGTGATCTGAGGTCCTCCAGTGCTGTAAAATGCCAAAAAATCATTTTTTTTTCTGTGTCTTTCCCCACAGGTCTGGCTGACAGCAATGTACCAAAATTTGAAAGCAGGCACCTACTTTTGGCCAGGCTCTGATGTTAAGATTAATGGAACATACCCCACCTTGTACACTGTATTCAACGGGTAAATTTTTATAGGGCTTGTAGTAAAATTCCGTAGATGACTCCAAAAATTCCAAACGCCATATGACAGTTGAAGGAAATGAAGTATAAGATATTTAAACCACACGATTTTTAAACAGTCTGACAGATAAGTGCCATGTCACATTGTCCTGGTTTTGCCACACGACTACCAATAATAGCTGATGTTTTCAGAACCATTTAGGGGATTCCCAATGAGAAAGTCAAAGGGTACTGTATGTTCTGCTCTTCCAAACAGTTCTGAAAGTTTCAGCCACCTGCAAGCCACTGATTGCTGGTGCTTAGTTAAGATGAATCATTCTTAAAACCCAAATCTGTGACTTTACTATATGACTAGAAGGTGGACACTTTGCATCTTGGAATTAGAAGGTCTTATCAGAAAAGGATTGTTAACATCTGGGTTTTTTGTTGGTTTTTTTTTTTTCAGTTCAGTTAAATATGAAGAGAGAATTTCGGGAATATTGAAATGGCTTGATTACACCAAATCTGAGAGGTAACAGTAATATCTAGCTGGTTTGTGAGGCTGTAGCTTAAAAAGGTTTTAATGCTTAGCAACTGAAATTTCTGTTGGTGTTTGTGAAACGTGCAATCTTCCTCACCAGCTCAAATGACCATTTCCTGAAATTAGGCCTGTTGTATAAGTATAGCTAATTGCTTTCAAGATGAGCTTGTAGATAGAAAAGAGGAAAGAGTGCACATATATCTGAATGGCATGTACTGTTGTGTGTTGTTTCTTTTACTGTTGTGTCTTTTTTCTTGGTGCATAGCCTGGAAACATTCAGTTTCTAGTCTAAGTGTATGGATGAAAGATATTTCACAAGAAATGTTAAATATCTGAAAGTAACTGTAGGCAGTAATTCAGGATGAGAAGTATATGTCAGTTCTGATTGTGGTGCTTGACTTTATGACATGTAAAATTGAAATCTTTTATTTGATATTTTGTTAACAAATTCCTAATATATTTGCAGTTAGAAGATGCTCTCTAGAGCCTCACTGCTTAATCAGGGGAAAAGATACCTTCGATGGTTGTTCCACTTACATTTCAAAAAGGAGCAGCTTGCTTTGCTGTCTGAGATCCTGAAGTTTTCCAGAGTGATTTCTGGATACCAATTAAAGACACTAGATACTATTTCTAAAATTGTAACTTCAAATAGTCCATGTTGATTAATTACAAAACACTGAGGAAGTTGCTGTATGGACTTTTATTAAGGTTCAAATAAATTATTTAAAATTCCATTTTAATTTTTTTTTTTTTGAATGAAAGTATTCTTTTGAAACTGTGTCTCCCAATTCTCATAATATTCTATTCTTATTTATTTCTTACTCGAGGCCTGATTTCTACACTCTATATATTGAAGAACCAGATTCTTCTGGACATTCATTTGGACCAGTTAGTGGTGGTGTAAGTAGCTTTTGTGTTTCTCTTAGACTAAATCGCACTGAAAATGGTGCTGTACTATGAACTTAACCAGCTTATGAACTTGGAAAGGATGGTAGATCAAAGATTACCTTGATCTCACTGTTTTGTGAGTGTTTATTAAGAACTCTTGCTTGTGTTTGAGCCCCGTGTTAGGATTCCAATACTGTGTGTGAATCAGAAGAGCTGTAAACCCAACCGACTGGCAGAAGATCAGTTCACATCATACTATTAGAAATAGAATCATACAATCATAGAATTGCAGAATGGTTAGAGCTGGAAAGGACCTTAAAGATCATTCAGTCCTACCAGGGACACCTCCCACCAGACCAGGTTGCTCCAAGCCCCATCCAGCCTGGCCTTGAACCCCTCCAGGGATGGGGCAGCCACAGCTTCTCTGGGCAATCTGTTCCAGGCTCTCCCCACCCTCACAGCAAAGAATTTCTTCCCAATATCTAATCTAAAACTACTAGTCCAATAATATCAATGATAGTATTTAGACTGAACTCTTAATTTTATTGCCAAGTGATATTTGGAAGCATGTGACCTGGCAAATTCTCAGAACTGTCTTTTATGTGTTCGTGACACTGTACTTCAACGTTTGTTAATTTGTAACCCAAAACATATTAAATCTGTTCCAGGCTCTCCCCACCCTCACAGCAAAGAATTTCTTCCCAATATCTAATCTAAAACTACTAGTCCAATAATATCAATGATAGTATTTAGACTGAACTCTTAATTTTATTGCCAAGTGATATTTGGAAGCATGTGACCTGGCAAATTCTCAGAACTGTCTTTTATGTGTTCGTAACACTGAACTTCAATGTTTGTTAATTTGTAACCCAAAACATATTGCATCTTTACTTGCATGAAGGCATAAAGTTCAGTCTTTAAGGAGCTTAGGACCTACCATATCAGCTTCTTCCTGCGATGGTCTTGTTTCATATATTTGAAAATGGTCTTCAGCAAAAGGCCTTGTTGTATTGTAGCGGACAAGGACAGAAAAACTGATCTTTGTAGAATAGTTTTAGGCTCCCTAATTGGAAGGGGGGTTTGTGCCTGTGTTGCTTCAGGGGTGGTCTGTGGTTTTCTGTAGGAAGTTATAAGGGACTGGATATAGGAGAGAAGGGCACCTTCTTGGACGTTACACTGGTCTATTAGGTAATACCTGCAGGTAAATATTTTTGAAATGCTGCTTATTGTTAATACAATGACATGTTCATGCTACAAAAATTGTATTTAGTATTATAAATCTGGTATTTTATATAAATTTGGGAGCGAGGAATAAATTCCATCTGAATGTGTTATTTTTTGTCTTTCGATAAACATATTTTAAAGCTCAATTTTTCTAAGGTAATAGGAAAAAATTATTTGCAGTTCTTTTTTTTAAGTCACATATTCTACTGTAGAGTAGTGGAGTTATACACATCTATAGTGTAGTGGTGATGGAAAAAGAAAAGAAGCAGTGATATCAAGTACCTGAAAACTGACAGAAAAGCTCACTTTTTCCAGACTTTGCTGATTGCATTTTAGAACTTGAAATCAGAAAGAAAAATTTTGATGAAACTGGTTTATCTCACAGGTAATCAAAGCCTTACAGGTAGCAGATCAAGCACTGGGGATGCTGATGGATGGACTCAAGCAAAGAAACCTGCACAACTGTGTAAACCTCATTGTTTTAGCTGATCATGGTAATGTGTATGGTTCTTTTTCCAATCTAAATTTTACTGTGTTGTCTTTTTTTTCCTCTGTGTAATATGTGTGCTTACTGGTTTTAATCTATAATTCACTTTATTTTCCTTGCCATATATTCTATCTAAAAAATAACTGTTTCTGTATTGTCCTTTAGGGATGGAGAGGACCTACTGCAAACAGATAGAATATATGACTAGTTACTTCAAGAAGATTGATTTCTACATATATGCTGGGCCTGCAGCTCGCATTCGAGCAAAAAATGTTCCACAGGACTATTATACCTGTAAGTGTGGGCCAATCCTGGGATTGCACAATCATCGTAACAGGAAATAAATAAATGAATGGGGGAAAAGGGATAATCAGTAGTAATCAGCAGAGTCAACAGCTTTCTGTTTCACTTAACCGATCTTAAACATCCATGGAAGTTGTTTGGATTTTTTTTTTTTTTGCAAAAATAACCCCTTTAGATGAAATCTAAGGTCAGACAAGCTGGTTGCAGGCTCTGATTTGCGTTTTCTTGTCATGTGGAAAGATGAAGTAAAGAGAAATCTAAGGTCAGACAAGCTGGTTGCAGACTCTGATTTGCGTTTTCTTGCGTTTGTCACGTGGAAAGATGAAGTAAAGATAAATAGCTTTATTGTTATGAACTGGAACTTCAGGTCTTTGGTAAGTGCGTTGCTCTTCACAGATTTCTTGTGCAACATTGGCAGAGCCAGTCTTTTTGAAGCAGTGACTCTTTCCAACTGTGTGGACAGTTACGGAATCTGAATCTTAGCGCAGTGGGATCTGAGCCTTGGTTGAGCCCGTTAGCTATTATCACAAAAGAACACAAAATTGAAACCATGTGAGGTAACTCTGACTTGAAATAAATACCGTGCTACCGGACTGAAAAAAAAACCCCAACATCCCAAAACTTTCTGTATCAGGGAAAAGAATGGAGAGAGCATGGAAGTGCTGTATTTAGTGATTTTATAGAATTCATAAAGTATTCTAAAAGGCATAATTCCTGTAGATCTCAAATAAGAGCTGGGATTCCATTCTACTTTTTATTTACCTTTTCTAATTGTATTTATATTTGTAGGCACAATATTTATACAACATAAAGCAGACTTTCCTTGGGTTAAGTAGAAGACAGTGTAAGTCAGACAGGACCAGAGTAATAAGCAGAGGAGCGAATAATGATGTTTTGTTTAAGTCTTAATCTCCATATAATTGTTGGCTCATTTCTTCTAATGGTTTTACTTTTTTTCTGAAGGAATATTTTTTTTCTGTAAGTTGCTCAGATTTGTTTTTCAGAAAGCCAGTGTCAAAAGGCTAAAACTCTTTGAAAACGTGCAAGGTGAAAGTGCTGAGACAGACTGGATTTTTGTCGGTGATTGCTGCTGGAAGTAGAATACAAGACAAGTGCTTGAGGAACAGTAAAAAAAGGTCATATTTCAAACAGAGGTTAGGTGGGAGAAGAAAATTTGGTTCTGACAATGTGTCAGCCTTGGGTGTGGGCAGTCATCACCATGGCAGTTTTCTATAGTCTGTCTTGACATTCCCAAAATGCCACTTCCATGGGCTACCACACTTACAGACAGTTACCCTTGGAAACACAACATTCCTACCTGTGGAAGGTCATGGTTACCATAATCTCCACAGGATAATAAAGAATTTCAATTTTACAGACAAAAAGCATGCTGAAATTTTTTTCATGAGTCTTTGGACCTTTTGCTGTTTGAATGTATGTTAATTCATCTTTTTTTTTTAACAGTTGACTCAGAAGGAATTGTTAAAAACCTCACAGTGAGTAAATATTTTCATAATTTTTCCTCATAGTTCCTCTTAATTGGAATCTGATCAAAAAACACAGTTTGTGGAAAAACTGAGACTACAGTGCCAGTTTAAACAGCTTACTGGCTCCAGGGTACCATAGGAGGAGGTTCTGGAAGGTGTTTGAAGATGGTCCACAAGGGTTTGCCTTGGGGGGCTCTCTGCTCAGAGCAAAAGTTTTCTGTACTTCACTTCGAAAGAGAAGAAGTGTCTGAGTTCACGTGGAGAAAGTAGGTTATATCTTCATTATAGAACAGAATACAACACAGAGACACTTTAGATAATAGGTGTCTGTTAGCTCTGGACCACAAGTGCTGCACCCAAAGAAGGTTGAAGCAAGTCTTCCACACAACAAATAATAATGACATTGTAAAGCACATTGCCACAGGATGTTGTAGAAGCTGGAAATATAAATACATCGGGGGGATTTTAGACAAATTAACAGAATACAGGCCTGTAAGAGGTATTAAACACGATCCATAAAGAACCTCTGATTTAAGAAATCCCTGAAACCTAGAGCAGGTACAAGAAAGAAGGTTCATTTGATACTTGGCTTGTTCTCACACACTTTCTCAAAGTATCCAACTCTATTTCTTTGCTTTTATAATTTACAGTTAAATATTTATAGAATCGTACAATCATTGAATTGTTTAGTTTGGAAAAGACCTTTAAGATCATCAAGTCCAACCATTAACCCAACACTGCTAAGTCGACCACTAAACCCATGTCCCTCAGCACCACATCTATACATCTTTTAAACACCTCCAGGGATGGTGACTCCACCACTGCCCTGGGCAGCCCATTCCAATGTGCAATAACCCTTTCAGTGTAAAAAATTTTCCTAATATCCAATCTGAACCTCCCGTGGTGCAACTTGAGGCCCTTTCCTCTTGTCCCATCACCTGTTCCTTGGGAGAAGAGACCAACCCCCCCTGGCTACACCCTCCTTTCAGGGAGTTGGAGAGAGCCAGAAGGTCTCCCCTCAGCCTCCTTTTCTCCAGGCTGAACACCCCCAGCTCCCTCAGCCGCTCCTCACCAGACTTGTGCTCCAGACCCCTCACCAGCTCCATTGCCCTTCTCTGGACCCGCTCCAGCCCCTCAATGTCTTTTTCTTGTCGTGAGGGCCCCAAAACTGAACACAGAATTTGAGGTGGGGCCTCACCAGTGGCCAGTACAGGGCGACAATCACTTCCCATGAGCAGCCAGTTTTTAAAGGAGAATGCTGTGGGAAACTTAAACTCCTTGCTGTCCATGTATTGTCATAATTTTCCCTTCTTTAATTCATTGCCAGGTTGTTTACTGTTCTGTGACTAGTCCTAGTCCAAACAGTAGACAGATGTTCTGGTACTTTGAGAATAAATGTTCTCAGTTTGGAAAAATTCTGCACGGTCTACAGACAGTCTGGAGCCATATAGCCAGACAAAGTGGGAATATTTCTGATAAATCACCACTAGATGTCTTCCTTTAACCTGTTGAACACCACAGTTGTGCCGTATTACGTGTAGCTTTTGCTTCCTATGTGTAGTACTACCGCAGTCCAACAGGCAGTGAATGTTCCTGTTTAATTTTTTCTTGATTCTATATACATAAGAACACATCTTTTATTCCCCAGCATCCAAAGGAGACACAGGCTGAGAGAGTTGGGGTTGTTCAGCCTGGAGAAGGCTCTGGGGAGACCTTAGAGCCCCTTCCAGTCCCTCAGGGGGCTCCAGGAGAGATGGGGAGGGACTCTGGATCAGGGAGGGGAGCCATAATACGAGGGGTGACAGATTTAAACTGAAAGAGGGGAGATTAAGATGAGATATTAGGAAGAAATTCTTTGCTGTGAGGGTGGGGAGAGCCTGGCCCAGGTTGCCCAGAGAAGCTGTGGCTGCCCCATCCCTGGAGGGGTTCAAGGCCAGGCTGGAGGGGGCTTGGAGCAACCTGCTCTGGTGGGAGGTGTCCCTGCCCAGGGCAGGGGGTTGGAACTCCATGATCTTTAAGGTCCCTACCAACCCAAACCATGCTATGGTTCTATGGTTCTATGATCAATGGTTGGGAATAGCAGAAAGAGCTTTTTCATTGCTACGTCCCCTCTGCCATTGTCACCTCCCTGTCACCAAGGTGGTTGTGATAACTTTATGTGATGGGTTTATTTTTGATACTGAGCAAAACTCCTGACCGGGCTGCCTCCTCTCACACAGTGCAAAAGGTCCCCTCAGCACTTCAAGCCTTACCTTACGCCTGACTTGCCGAAACGATTCCACTATGCCAACAACATCCGCATCGATAAGGTCCATCTTCTGGTGGATCGGCAGTGGCTGGCTGTGAGGTAACGTCATTTGTGTGACTCTTTTATCTTTTTTCATCTCCTTCTCAGCCTTTTAATTTCCTTCACAGGTGCCTCGTTTCCCATTTTGCTTCAGACTTGTCACATTTCAATGTTCGTTACATTTAAAATCTTACTGTAAAGAAGCAAACGTGCCTTATACATAAAGCCAAAAATGTATTATTTGTATGATTCAAATCTGAACAGTCTAATAGAAGATTTGTCATCATTACTCCAGATGGAATTTTTACAGAAAAAAAAATGAAGAAAAAAGGAACTAAAGAAATTAATACAGAAAATGTCTCAAAAAACCCCTAAAACCCCAAAAGGCACTTAAAATTGTTATACAAAGCCTTCCTAGCCCTTTTCCTGGTGTTGCAGTTACTCCTCTAGTGTCCTTCTGGGTGCTAAGGTTGATGCCTTCAGCCTGGTGGATGTGTGGACACGGCCAGTAGTCAGCATTAGGAGTCCTTCCTCAGGAGGAACGTGATGTTGATGTTTCTCTTCCTCACTGTGTGGTCCAAACGGGGTCCTTCCTACCTGTAGGCTAACACTAGAGCCTGCTCATTCTCCACAGCTCTGCAAATTAACGTTACATCTTGGTTCACTAGATAAAGTGCATTCTACACGTGTTAGATATTTGTTCTTTATTCTCTTTCTTACCTCTGAGTCCGGTTTTGCTGAGTTCTAGATCTGCATTTCTTTAACTGACCATTGGTGCGTTGTTTCCAGCCCTGGGGTCTCGATTCTACACAGAATAACTGATTGTTACTGCTAGCTGTATAAAAATGATGTCTTTGCCTTGCAAAGATGAGCTGACAGCAAATTAGAGGCAACCACCTGCTCATTGCAAAAAATTGCTGTAAGAGCTAATCAATGAAAAATAAAAATAGCTCTGAGCAAGTCAAGAGCAGCTCAGACAAGCTTTTGTCCCGAGGCTTTGAAAACTCAATATAAAGCCTGGGGTGTTAATTGAAATATTGTATTTACTGAGCTACAGCACTGCACTGGGAGAACCATGAGCCCACTTGAAATTTCAAGACGATTCACATAGTAGAAAACACCAGATCAGTAATATTGTATTTACTGAGCTACAGCACTGCAGTGGGAGAAGCATGAACCCACTTGGAATTTCAAGACGATTCACATAGTAGAAAACACCAGATCAGTGTATGATTTAATTGTTTGGATGCAACCAAATAGTTGCCCCGGACATATAAAAAGAAATGCCCACTGAAAAATCTCATATTCACCCTTTTTTAAACTGCGCTCAAATGTTCTTGTGCCTCTGAAAACAGGACACATGTGCTTGACAACTGTGCGTTGAATTGGGATGAATATTGGAATTGAATGGGATGAATATCACATTATCTTTCCATGTATCCTAGCAACGGGTAAATTTAAACAAGTGTTAGTCATTATAAGTCAGACTATTCTGACATGTTATTAATTCTATAGTCCAGTTACAGCATCCACACCTCTTCTGTACCCTTTAGAATCCATGGTGAAAGTCTTGTAAGGCAAAATCCCTTGCAATCTTATTTATATTGTTCCACAGAGGCAAACAGCACAGTTCTCCCATTATACATTTTCTATTAAAACACAGATACCACAGAATATAACTGAGGAATTCTTCCTAAACAGGTTACGCTTGTTCTGAAACTTGTAGCTAGGTGAAGACCTCGGTTCAAAAATAGCCCTTTTTTACCTATTTGTTTTGAAAACATTGATTCTCTGTACACGCGGTAGCTATGTAGGATAATTTATTTCTGTCCGTAGCAGTATCTGTTACAGAAGAAAGAAATATTTATAAAAGTGAACACTGGATGAGGAAAACGTACTACAATATTATGCCAGAGTCAGTTCTTAAGACCTGATCCAGAGTCAGGATAACTGTTATTAAGTAATTCTATTTGTGCTGGTTTTATTAACACTATGTGATGGTTTCTCCTTAGGGACTCAAGTTACAGAGGGTGTGATGGGGGTAACCATGGCTATAACAATGAATTTAAAAGTATGGAGGTAAGACAATTTCTGTTCTGGTCTTGCACCTTCTCGTATAGAAAATCACAATGTGCTGGGAGAACCACCAGAATATAGAATGTATGATAGTTTTAGCAGTGTGCTTTGTCTTTCCATGTCACCCAGACGTGTAAACTGTGAACACCCACTGGGTCCACGCACTCGTATGGCCTTTCATTGAAGTGTAGGAGGCTGCTTCCTTGGGACTCTGTAGTAAAACTTGAGGCTCACCTCTGTGGAGGCAGAGACACTACAGTAAATCAAGGATACCAAGTTTAGCTGTGGGACACTGGATTCTTTCATTCTTTCATTCTTCCATTCTTCCATTCTTCTACTGAAGCACTCACCGAAAAATCTCCACAGGTTCTGGGAGTTCAGTTGAGCATCTCAAAGCCTGTGTGCTCAAATTAACTAAAACTCATTGCCTGTGCTTATTTTGCAAGACTTAATCATATCGTCAGAGAAAAAAAGTCCTTGGTATAACCTGTATGTTAGTATACCCCATGTTGCAGTTTCATTTCATTTTCCTTTCTGGTTACAGTAAAAATATTTTGAGGTCTTGAGCTTTCGGTTTTTCACGTACTTTCTGTGATGTGAACCTTTAGATAAGGTCAAGCGTGCCACTACTAATCCCATACCCTGTGCCTAAGAATCAGGTTCTTCCAGATCTTCACAACTATATTAAAACCCTGTGTCAATATTTTGATCTGAACTCTGCTGAGGGTTTGTATGGAAAGAAAAAGTGAATTCTTGTTACGGTACAAACCTTAGTCATAGATAACCTTATGCTGGTGGCACCATGGCTGAGGAAACTTTTTTCTTTATGAAGGAACAAACTGTCCTAACATCTTTTTAAAATTAATTAAAGATTCCTTTTCTACTATGGGAACATAGGATATTATTTTAGAACAGATCATTGTTCTGTTTAGTCATGTTTCCTGTACCTTATGTCAGGCAGCTCAGGAGACTTATAAAGTAGTAGACACTAATGTGAGACTGTAAGAAGTACCAGGGTTCTGCTACAATGCTATATTTTAACTGAGAAAAGACTATATTTTGTTCCAGTGTCCCTCTCTGTAAAATGCAACTGAATTGCTTTTGAATTTGGGTTCCGTTAGATAACAGCTCTTGTTTTATTACCATCCAGGCTATATTCTTAGCACATGGCCCAGGCTTTAAAGATAAAACAGAAGTGGATGCCTTTGAAAACATTGAGGTTTACAACCTGATGTGTGGTGAGTAGGAACAATCCGGTACTTTAGGTGATAAACCAACAGTGTTTTCGAATATCAGTGTTGTAACAGCCAAGAGTAACTAAAAATTTAGTGAATTCATGCAGAAGCTAGGTTATTTCCCAGAAAACACTGAAGCCATGCTTTCTTGTACAGTGCTAAAAATTTTATTTTTCAGTGGTGCCCGGGGACAGGACAAGAGGAAATGGGCACAAACTTGAGTATAAGAAGTGCCACCTAAACGTGAGGAGGAACTTCTTTACTGTGAGGGTGGCAGAGCCCTGGAACAGGCTGCCCAGAGACCTTTTGGAGTCTCCTTCTCTGGAGACTCCAAACCCCCCTGGACATGGTCCTCTGCAACCTGCTATAGGTAGACCAGCTCTGGCAGGGGATTGGACTAGGTGATCTCCAGAGGTCCCTTCCAACCCCATATGATTCTATGATTAACTGCCAGAAATTGTTCTGCTTTGAAGGATTTTTCTGATTGCAGGAGGAGTCCAGTAAAGAATCAGAGAGAAGCTCTCCTGCCACATGGGCTTGCTGTTGAAATAGTGCCTGGGGGATAATTTTGGGATAAGAATCCTGTAGAGAGTTACTGCTCTTGCTCAACACGTAAGATGGACCATTGCAGTCCCAGCAGTGAGCAATCAGGAAGTAGGTGCCTCAGAAAATACGGACTAAAGCATCCCACAAAAATGCAGTAGGCCAGTGTGCTCCACAGTGTGCTGCGTTTGCAAGCACATTTGTACTGAGCATTAAATCGTCTAATCCTGTGAATGTTATGGCAATGTATAAAGCTGTATGAAAAATCCATCATTACCAAATCTTGATGCAGTGGGAGATAGCAACCAACATTAGAATCACAGAATTGTCTGGGTTGGAAGGGACCTTTAAGATCATCGAGTCCAACCATCAACCTAACTCTGATAAAAACCATCACTAACCCATGTCTCTAAGCACTATGTCAACCCGTCTTTTAAATATCTCCATGGATGGTGATTCCACCACTGCCCTGGGCAGCCTCTTCCAAGGCTTAATAACCCTTTCAGTGCCAAAATTGTTCCTAATATCCATCCTAAACCTCCCCTCGTGCAACTTGAGGCCATTTCCTCTTGTCCCATCGCCTGTTCCCTGGGAGAAGAGACCGACCCCCACGGCTACACCCTTCTTTCAGGGAGTTGGAGAGAGCCAGAAGGTCTCCCCTCAGCCTCCTTTTCTCCAGGCTGAACACCCCCAGCTCCCTCAGCCGCTCCTCACCAGACTTGTGCTCCAGACCCCTCACCAGCTCCGTTGCCCTTCTCTGGACCCGCTCCAGTACCTCAATGTCTTTTTTTGTGTTAAGGGCCCCAAAACTGGACAGAGCCCTCAAGGTGGGGCCTCCCCAGGGCCCAGCACAGGGGGACGATCACCTCCTGATTCCTGCTCACCACACTGTTCCTGACACAGGCCAGGATGCTGTTGCCACCTTGGCCACCTGGGCACACTGCTGGCTCCTGTTCAGCCCACAGGCCACCAACACCCCCAGGTCCTTTTCCATGGGGCAGCTCCATCCCCTCTGCCCCCAGCCTGGAGCGCTGCAGGGGTTTGGTGTGACCCAAGAGCAGGACCTGGCACTTGGCCTTGTTGAACCTTATCCCATTGGCCTCGGTCCATCCATCCAGCCTGTCCAGATCCTTCTGAAGAGCCTTTCTAGTGTCCAGCAGATCAACACTCCTGCTCAACTCGGTGTCATCTGTGAACTTTCTGAGGGTGCACTCGATCCCCTCGTCCAGATTATTGATAAAGATGATACCTAGAAATACCTAGATGATATCTGGGTTTCTTCATACCTAGAAAATTGGCAGTTGATGGTAGGAGTTACCATAAGTGTTTAGATAACTGACTGAGCTATTTATTCTACATTTATAATGAATGCATAAGAAATGCATAGAATTGGAAAGATGATGTCTTTTAAAAATGCCATTTTAGTCTTACAAATTTCAAAATGTTTCACAGATTTGCTGCACATCACACCTGCCCCAAACAACGGGACACATGGCAGCCTGAATCACCTCTTAAAAAAACCTTTTTACAATCCTTCACATGCAAAAGAAGTGTCAGCTCCTTCTTCATGTCCAGTTACCCATCTGATTCCAGAAGATGATCTGGGATGCACGTGCCCGATTGTAAGTAGGGGCTTTTTGGGATTTTTTTAATCACCTTTATCAAGTGTGTTCTCTTTTCTTTGGTTTTTCTAAACTACGGATGCATTCTGAATGGTTCTCTTATATTTTGCAGATAACAAATGTTTCAGAAATAAATAAGAGGTTAAATCTCACTGCAGAAGAAAGTAAGTAGCAAGAAATGAAAAGAACAGCAATATTTTAAAATCTCTGCCTGGTTTAGATTTTATGTTATTGATTTCAGTAGGAATTGTTGCATTATAAATGACAATTTAAAGTAAAGTTGAGAAGCCAAGTCAGAAGCATAATTTTTTTTTTTAATTTCTTTTAAAAAATTTTTTTTAAAAATTTTTAAATTTTAATTTCTTTAAAAAAAAAAGCTAATTGATACTGTAACAACATTTATGCATAGGAACTGGGTCTGAATCCCATTAAAATCTTGGGAAAAACCATACAGGTTTCAGTAGCCTTTGGAGAAAGCCTGAACACTTCTAAGCCATATACCATAACTCTTGTTCCCTACCTTGTAACCATAATTCTGCCTTTCTCTGATCAAAAATTCCCACAAATATTTCTGTGTGCTTTTATATGGGCTTTCTGGAAATTTTAGGAAGAATTGTGATGCTTCCTAGTCAAATAAGATGTAAATTGCACTCCACTGGCAAGACAAGTTCAAAAGATTTTTATTGGTATGAAACTGCAAAGAAACAAGAATTTGCAAGTCTGATATATTACATTGACTTATATACATCAAAAATAACATGAAAACTATTTTCTACATTTTCAATTCCACTCAGAAGCTAAGAGCTTAAAGAAATCCATGCCCACGTTTGCTGTTGGTTTTATTTGTCTTCATTAATGTTTTTATTTTACATTTTTCTCTGCTCTCTTAAAACTTTGTGCCATCCAAAATGTTACGGAAGAGCGAATCAATAATTATTGCTTCAATTCTAGTAAAGAACGCAAACACGTATCATTTGCCATATGGGAGACCCAAAGTTCTGCAGAACAACAAAGTCTACTGCCTCCTTTCTCATCACCAGTACGTGAGTGGGTACAGCTATGACATTCGGATGCCACTGTGGACTGCATACACTGTGAATAAGCCTGTAAGTTATCAAATATCCATACTCTTCTTAAATATGTAATACAACATCTTGAAAACGTGGTTCATTCATTGGGAATCCTGGTTAAGGACTGGTGGACATCATGTGACCTAAGGCCCTTATGACACTGGAAAAGTGTCTCTGATATCTTTTAAGTTTCAACTGTCTTAAAATACTGTTCAATAATATAGAATAACCATCTGTCACACACAAGGGATTTTCAAAATCAGAAGCTTTTAAGCTTTTCTATGAATATCATCATCTTTTTTCTATTAGCAAACTCTACAAGACAGTTTGTACTAATGCATATTTCTGTATGTTCTGATTATTTGCTCTCTGTTACATTCTGTAATGTCTGAAAAATGTAATTACAGCTGAATGAACCTCTGAGACTTCAAGGTCATGTGGCTCTGGAACAAACTGTTTAAGTTTTCAGGGTCAGTAATGTTAGTGGACATTCATGGACTAAATTCCCCTTCTAATTTGACCCTTTTCCTAAGTTGCCCTTGAGGAAATAACTTTTATTGATGTTTATTCTAAGTTGCCCTTGAGGAAATAACTTTTATATTGATTTTGCTGTTTGAAGAGAACTGTTATTGATGTTTACATGATTTCTTATTTCATCAGTACAAATATGGGGAAATTATTTTAATCAAATGCTAGTATTTCAGAAAGTTTTACTCCAAGCTATTAATTTCATTCCATGTGGCACATATATTTTCCATTAATATACAACCTGGCCATAATATCATCATAAAAGTAACTAAAGAAATTAAATCAAGGAGTACAAAGAGGCACGAGAAGTACATTCCAGTTCTTTATTTCTGCTCATTTTTAACCCATCGAAATAAACAACGTACTGAAAATCAATTTAAATGTTTAACTACTGTTTATAAAGGTATAAAGCAAATAAATATGTTCTGTTCTTACCAAAATGAAAATAAATGACGTGTAAATGAGTATGAAAAAGAAAACAGTTACACACAGAAGATTGTATTCTGATGTTTTAGTTAATGCTATTGTAAAACTACAGTAAGGGTTATAGGGGGAAAAAAAAAAGTAAAGGTTATAGAAATAATTAGCCTAATCAGAATCACTTTTGGCCAGATCTTAGCTAGTGTACATGTTAACTTGTCTTAGCTGAAGTTAGGAAAACTTAGCCAATAACATGTAGTGAATTTGCTATGAATTTATTTAGCTTTAAATCTTCAACACAGCAGACTCTTATTATGGAGACAGCATCCTCAGAGATGAGGTGACAGTGTCATCTTTATATGCTTGCTGCTTTCCAGGAGGATGTGACATCAAGTCTGTGTTTCCAGAAATATGTGAAGTGACGAATGAGCCAAACTTGTCACCTGTTTTTTGCCTAGAGGTCTAACCTTATTTTGCTACTACAATTTTACGTGCTGCATAAGGATTTCCCTGAATTACCTAAAAACAGAAGTAGAGGAAAAAACACTAGGCAGAAAACATCAGTGTCCAGTACTTTCATTGACCTGATTCACTATGAAAATAGGAGGAGATTCAATGAAGTCCGATCTAGAAAGTTAAAACCATACAAAGCCTTGGGTTAGCCACAGCTGTGGGTGTAATATTTTCTTTTTTTTTCCCTTTTCAACAGGAAAACACATCTCTTCCTCCCACTGTTTCAGACTGTCTGCGGGCTGATGTTAGAATCCCTGTTGCTCGGAGCCAAAATTGTTCCAACTACCCAGAAGGGCTGACCTTTACCCGCAGTTTCCTCTATCCTCCCAGTGAGCACGGTTCTTTTTATAGCTAGAGCTTAGAAAGTCTTAATCAGCTGGATGTGGGTTTGTGCTTAAACATAAACCCAAACACCAACACAAACTTCTGTGGATCAGCAGGCTGGGCAGAAAAAGGTTTCCAGTGTTTGTAGGCTGACCAAAAGCAGGGCTTTGGTATCTAAATATTTTCAGTTTAGACCATTTTTTTATTTTAAAAATGGAACAACTTGAATGTGGTGAAAACTGGGTTGGGAAGATGTAAAGGGTTGGAGCGAAGGGCTGTCCCTCATCCTCTGGGTGAATGTTCATTTCCTATTGTCTAATTTGATAATTACTTTCTTGAGTAGACTGTACAAATAAATTTGGAGCTATGTTTATAGACGGATCATACACTCATGCTCAAATATAAAATGTAATTACATGTACCTGCAACTTATAATGACATAGGAATCAAATTAATCTGTGTGTATAGTATTTCATTAGTTTCTACTTTGTTCTTTTATATAGACTTCAATTCATCTACTCTTGTACAGTATGATGCCTTACTCACCAGCAATATTGTTCCCATGTATAGTGCTTTCACAGGTAGGTTGCAAAGTTTTGATTAATTTTGATTCAATTTCTGTAACTAAGGTTGTGGATTTGATAAAGCTATGACAAGGTCTTAGAAACATTAATGCGTGGCCTGCGGTATATCCAGATCTTGTGCAAATATATTTAAAACTATTTAAAAATATATATGTGAAATTTTAAATCATGCTTATCTAAGTTATCTTTTTTTTTCTGTGTATAGTTTTGTCTGATATCTGCTTAGGTGTACATGCCAATTTTGAATTTTCTCTTCACCTCCTGTGTCCTGTCCTAACATGAAACGCTGATTATGAAACTCTCATGAAAATATCCCCTTGGGGAAATGCTCAAAGTGAATGAAAATTGCACTTTTTCTTTCCTTTTGCAAGGTCCCAGGAGAGAACAGGACAAAGTTTTACAAACAATGTCCTGATACAGTGCCTGTTCCATCGAGCAGAAACTCAAACCAGACAATACTGATCTCGGAATATTTACTTCAGGCAGATGTTTCTGTTATATAAGTGCATGAGAAGCTCTCCTGCTTTCAGCTGAGATAAAGTGAATTTTCTTTCTAGTGGTTGCTGCATTTTCAGATTTGATATGAAAGGAACGTCAATAATGCATATTGGTTTAGTTGTTGCTAAGCGATGTTTATACTCGAGGTCTTTTTTCCCCTTCCCATAGAAGCTGAGGAGGAGCCTAGACTGACTGATGGGATGGCCAATGGAATATTCCATGCCATAGACATCCTGCTCAGTCTATAAATGGGGATTGGCCAGGAGGAATGCACGATCTCTGCTCAAGTTGAGCTGGGCAACTCCCTCTTCTCCCTACCCTTCTGGGGATGAAGGGGGAGTGAGCCATCAGCTGTGGCTGTATGGTCCTGGTTGCTGGCTGGGGTTAAACCACAACAGCTACATTAACTTTTTCCATCCAGCCTGACTCATTTTTGTTCATAACCACTGATAAGAAATTTCCTACAACTGCACATTGTCCATTTAGGCTTTGGCACATTTTAGGTAGAAAGAAGAAAAAGCTGGAGGAAAAGTGATGATTTAACTACCTTTCTAATGTATCCAGATCTCATTCATTCATTCACTCATGTCATATGAAAAACAGAGACCCAGAAAACCTAATCTTCTAAGTAAATCAAAGGCACTGTGAAAAATCCAGTTTTCCAAGGAAAACTCTACAAGAGATTTAAACTTACAAGAAGTTACCCTAGACCATAAGAAAGAGGCAAATCAATAGGAGATGCCCTCAATCCCCCCAAACCCATCTGTGTGGTTTTTTTTCCATGAGAGCTGTAAATATTGAAATAGTCTCATCTTCTGTCCAACACATTGTATTTTCTCTAATAGTATGTGTGAAATAAGCCAAATTGCCTAGTGATATTTGACATGAGTTCCTCAGAGCTGGACTAACTCTTGGGTGGTCACTTCAAATTTGTGTTAAACATGCTTATATTTTCTTTTGGTGACAGAAATATGGGAATATTTCCATAATGTGCTTCTTCAGAAGTACGCTACAGAAAGGAATGGAGTAAATGTTGTCAGTGGACCAGTGTTTGATTACAATTACGATGGCCATTTTGATACGCTTGATGAAATTAAGCAGTAAGTACATGGAAGAGCCAGAAGTCAAACTCTGGATTATTTCCCACTGTATTTCCTAGCAAACGCATTTCTATTCATAAAGAACAAGAAAGAAGTATCTTCACTCAGTCGTGTAACTGGGAATGTAAAATGTCACATTCTTGAGTGGCATCTTTGCACAGCTGTGGCTCACACAGGTCACTTGAAGGTCTGACAAGTTTTAGGTACATTTTAGTGAGTTCTGGTAGTATAACAAAATACGTTTTAAAATTCATCTGTTTGTAGAAACAGGTATAAGAAAAGACTTACATAAAAGAATTCTATAATAGAGAAATATAAAAGATAAAGACCAATGATTTATGTTAGTGAATGAGGACAGAAGGAGGAAAAAAAACAGAATGAGAACAAACAACTTAGATTGTTCCAAATATAGGGAAAAATGCCTGGTGACAGTAAAAACCTTTAGCTGAAAAGTGCTGGGAAATCCGCACAGCTGAATCTGTCGCTGGAGATGCTTTATTCAAGGCTAGACTTCATACCACATCTGTCAAAAATGGTTTGAGAATGGGAAAATCAGCTCTGCCACGAAGTAGGAGGGTGGAAGGGAGGAGAGACTAGAACTTCCTTCCAAGCAGATGCTGTAATACCCGGCCGACCACATAATGTTGTCTACAGTTTGGAATAAGCATGTTTTATTCAGCGTGGTTAGTCATTCCTACGAACCCGTATAATGATTTCAGTGATGGTGTTTGGCTGGACACTGAAGACGTACAGCAAGTTTGGGAAGCGTTCAGCTCCTCAGAAGTTCATACACAAAAGTGGCCACATTGATAGAATAGCCAGAAAAAGGAGGCACAAAAATCTTCTCACAAGTTTATACACAAAAGTGGCCACGTTGATAGAATTAGCCAGAAAAAGGAGGCAAAGAAATCTCGAATCAGGTGTCCTAAACTGGTTTCTGTAGCACATAGCCACAAGTCATCCTTCTGGCATGTCTTGCTGGCAAGAAACCTGAGCCTAATTTTGTCACTCTTCTCCAGTTCGGTTTCACGTGGCTGAGAGTCTTAATGTAATGAAGGGCAAACACGATGCTCTATCCTTCCTCTTCCAGATGTAGGGATCTCTGGCCTTGGCAAAATAGAATGTTGACCACGTAAGCAATCCTGCTGGTGTCAGTGGGACTGCTTGTAGCAAAAGGTCTAATCCATGCATGTTTGGCTGCTCTTGAAACAGATAGTGAAGCTGCCTATCCCCATGACGTATTTATTTCAGTTATAAAATAAATAAAAGTCATACCGTAGTGGCAGATCTGTGCTGAGATAAGTTCTATAAATTCCTAACGGCGTCAGTCATTTTAATACTTGACTTCCAGGTGAATCCCTTAATTGATGTTTGTTTTGTAGGTATGTAAACAATACGGAAATCCCTGTCCCAACCCATTACTTCGTGGTTCTGACCAGCTGCAAGAACAAGTCCTATACTCCACTGAACTGTTTGGGCTCCTTGGATGCTTTGTCTTTTATCCTTCCTCATCGACCTGACAACACCGAAAGCTGTGCTGTAAGTACCATTCTAGGCTCCTGTGTGCCCATCAGCTTCATGAACTGATTCCTGGTGGGCTCCGGTCATCTGGAGAATCTTTAGAAGTCTCAGTGTTCAATTAATTCTTCCCCGTGAGTTGAGAGTGAGCTGAGAGCTAAAGTGATGACTAGGAGAGGAAGAAGCTCCAGGAGAGGCAGCTGGAAACTAATGAATGGATATCAAGTGAGGAAAAAGAAGAAATGAGGGTTTGATAAGAGGACTTGGAGATGCTGTCACCTGAGAATGGCAGCACAGCCAACAAGGTGATGAGAGGGCTTTATGGAAGGCTGCAGGATAAACTTACTCCAGAGGTATTAGAAGACTTTGAGTGTTACTCCCTTCAGTGTATCTAGGAGAATTCCTTCAATCCTTTGTTCCACCTTCACCAGAAATTAGACAGCAGGCATATAGATATATGGTCCCACAGCTGAAATTGATACTTGGGTGAAATAAAATCTATGGTTACCACTAAGAGTGTAAATCTCATGTTTTGTAGCAAACAAAATAAATTAGCTGAGTGTAATATGGATTGTTAAACCAACCGAGTGTTCCATAAATTCTGGGATCATAGAATCATAGAATGGTTTGGGTTGGAAGGGACCTTAAAGATCATCCAGTTCCCACCCCCTGCCCTGGGCAGGGACACCTCCCACCAGACCAGGTTGCTCCAAGCCCCATCCAGCCTGGCCTTGAACCCCTCCAGGGATGGGGCAGCCACAGCTTCTCTGGGCAACCTGGGCCAGGCTCTTACCACCCTCACAGCAAAGAATTTCTTCCTGAGATCTCATCTACATCTCTCCTCTTTCAGTTTGAAGCAGATGGTGATGCAGAAGGTTCCTTAGCTCAGTGTGTGTATGACAGTCTCCTCACAGAGAAGTGTAGCTGTGCAGACTTGAACTGGCCCTCAAAGCAGTAAAATTCTGTGTATTTAGTTTATTTATAACTTTGAACTCATAGCTCCAGACAGGTGCAAGGAACAACTTGGGTGTCTCCACTTTTGTGGTATGGATAATCCCCAACTGCCCAGTCATCTCTTTGGTAGTTGGGAGCTGACTAAATAAACAAAATAAATAATTTGAATGAATGATTTTTCAGACTTTAGAAACTAAAATATATTATTTCTAAAGTTTAGCATCAACCCCCAAATATTGCATTTTGTGTTTATTATGCCTTGCATTCCTGTAAATTTAGTCAACCATTTGTGCCAGGAGCAATACTGGAAACCGAAAAGCAAATTACCATCTGTTTGCAAAACGACTTGGTAGTAAAAGAATTGAGCAATAACAATTTTGATCAACTAGTGCCTACATTTCCATTGTTTTTGCTGTCTACTCAGCCATTATTACTGCTGTCTGACAATCCAGACAGAGCTGCTGTCAGGACTCCGCTCCGGTTGTCGGTCTACTCAGCCATTATTACTGCTGTCTGACAATCCAGACAGAGCTGCTGTCGGGACTCTGCTCCGGCTGTCAGTGCCTGCTCTTTCTCCAGCCCGAGCTCTGCAGCTAATTTATACCGTAACTAAAACTGTCCTCACTTGTGTGTTTAAAATATGACTCAACTGTCCTTTGCAGTTAAAAGTCATACCCGATGTTTCAGCATAATTCTGCTTCTCTGCTGCTCTGGGGGTGGGACGAGGGGACGTCCGAGCTGCTGTCGGGACTCTGCTCCGGCTGTCAGTGCCTGCTCTTTCTCCAGCCCGAGCTCTGCAGCTAATTTATACCGTAACTAAAACTGTCCTCACTTGTGTGTTTAAAATATGACTCAACTGTCCTTTGCAGTTAAAAGTCATACCGGGGGTTTCAGCATAATTCTGCTTCTCTGCTGCTCTGGGGGTGGAACGAGGGGACGTCCGTTTGATTCTGTTCAGATGGGATCCCCCAGTGCAAGGCAGCCTGGAGAAGAGGAGGCTGAGGGGAGACCTTATTGCTCTCTACAACTCCCTGAAAGGAGGGTGTAGAGAGGTGGGGGTCGGTCTCTTTTCTCAAGTCACAGGCGACAGGACAAGAGGAAATGGCCTCAAGTTGCGCCAGGGGAGGTTCAGGCTGGATATTAGGAAAAATTTTTTCACCGAAAGGGTTCTCAGCCCTTGGAATGGGCTGCCCAGGGAGGTGGCTGAGGCCCCATCCCTGGAGGTGTTCAAAAGACGGGTTGATGTAGTGCTGGGAGGTATGGTTTAGTGATGGGGATGCTCCTTGTTTGTTGTGCGGGTGTCTATTTTTGTCAGTGAGGTTGACGGTTGGACAAGATGATCTTTAAGGTCCCTTCCAACCTAGAAGATTCTGTGATTCTGCGTTGAGGGAAAAACCTGGGAGAAGTTTCACCAACTGGAGGCCTTCAGTCCGTCAAACCAGTTCAAACACCGGTTATGGGCGGTGTGGGCGACCACCACCACCAAACAACGGAGCGAGTGCCTTTTATGCATTTGAACATTGTTCTTCTTTGCTTTGGCAGGAAAATAAGCAACCATCTGAATGGGTTGAAGAAAGGGTTCAGGCTCATTCTGCACGTGTCCGGGACGTGGAGCTGCTGACGGGGCTTGACTTCTACCAGGAGAGAACGGAACCCGTCTCCGAGATCCTACAGCTGAAGACGTTTTTGCCAATATTTGAGACTGAAAGTAACTGAGCAGCTGTTAAAAAAGTGACAGTTTGCTTGGAAGAAAGCAAATTTAAGTAAATTTAATTTTTTTCCTTGCTAAGTTAGGAAAAGAGACATGACTGCAGCTCTTCTGTATGAAAACACACTTGGAGGAGCTAATTTAATTTTTCAAATTCGTGTCCTTTGGTGGAATGTTTTGTACCAACTGAATAAAAATTAGCTAAAGTAATTTAAATCATTGCTGAGCCAGGCTTTCAAAACAGAGAGTATCTTATTAGTACTGGGTTGAAGGAAAAAAAAAAACTACAAAAGGATCATGTTTCATAATAGAGAGACCCCAGAATTGCAAACTGTGTTGAAAATGTTTCTATAATAGAATTGGAAAGTGCAAGAGTTTGAGAGGAGCGTGTGTGGGTTTTCCCTTGTGTTTATCAGAGAGGTTACAGTTATCTAATACTAGTGTGTCCTGAAATGTTCTGAATTTCACTTTCTCACCTATTAATTCACATGGGAACTGCTCTGTATTCAGAAAACATGCTCAGTTTATATATACTGGAAGTGTCTTCTGTGATCATCCTCTTGTGTTTTCCACTGGGGTTTATTCATTATGCCAGTAACAAGTGAAGTGAAATTACAGTAAATGAGCTATTTTCTGTGCCCTTCAGAAACCCGAAGGCATTCTCAACACGAAAAGGTAATAGAAAAGCTCTTGCCAGAAGAATTTTGTCTGGATATTTACCTGTATTTGCAACGATTTCCGAGTGCCTGGCAATGCCTAAATGTTTGTGTCTATTTTAAAACGGTTAAACCTGAGATTAGAGCACAAAATTAGTGGTGACACCCGAAAAATGGTCAGTGTTGCTTTCCGTGGTGAGTTTATACACAGAGACTCTCAAACACAGACTGTGTTGGACAAAGGTGACTGCTGGGACAAGCGGTGGAAATTCCCGGATTCCGCTATGGCAGAAATGTCAGGTGTTAATTAAGTGTTGAGCTGAAAATTAGCTACAGCAGGGAATCAACCCTCTGGCACATTTATAGGCACAGTGGGGGGAGTTTTAAAGAAACACATCAATGGCATCCTGGGGGGCATCAGGAAGAGTGTGACCAGCAGGTCAAGGGAGGTCATCCTGCCCCTCTGCTCTGCCCTGGAGAGGCCCCATCTGGAGCACTGGGACCAGTTCTGGGCTCCCCAGTTCCAGAAGGACAGGGAACTGCTGGAGAGGGGACAGCAGAGGGCTACAAAGATGATGAGGGGACTAGAACATCTCTCTGATGAGGAAAGGCTGAGGGACTTGGGTCTTTTTAGTTTGGAGAAGAGAAGGTTGATGGGGGATCTGATCAACACCTATAAATACTGAAAGGGTGGGTGTCAGGAGGGTGGTGCCAGTCTCTTCTCAGCACAGTCTCTTTTCAGTGGTGCCCAGGAATAGGGCAAGAGGGAACAGACACAAACTTGAACACAAGGAGTTCTACCTAAAGATGAGGAGGAACTTCTCTCCTGTGAGGGTGGCAGAGCCCTGGAAGAGGCTGCCCAGGGAGGTGGTGGAGTCTCCTTCTCTGGAGACATTCCAAACCCACCTGGACACATTCCTGTGCAACCTGCTCTGGGTGGACCTGCTCTGGCAGGGGGGAGGACTGGATGATCTCCAGAGGTCCCTTCCAACCCCACATCATTCTGTGATTCTGTGAAAGATTGCTTCAATCTGTAAGTAATCGTGGACTGGGGGGAATATGTCTATGTGAGAAAGCAAGCTTTTAAAACCTATAGAAAAAAACCCCACCAACCCAAACTGCCTCAGTTAATAATAGAATTGATTTTTCACTGCATAGTATATCATACCCTAACTCTAGTCAATGAATTTACATAGCACATACTAATTTAGGTGTGTCAATTAACTAGTCTGGAATTTTAAAATTAATTTCAGACATAAGTAGAAACAAACAGTTTCTTAAGAGTATAATATTTGGTTTGTCTATGTTCGCAATTTACGGTAGAACTAATTTGACTGATGTGATGGTGCTGTGCCTTGATCTAATTAAATTTTGATTAAGCCCCGTGTCACCAACCACGGCAGTAGGACAAGCTCCAGGCCAATACTCTGGTTCAGCAACGAGAGCAGATTTCTGGTGTAGAGACACCTTTGTGAGCAGTTACCCTCAGGTGGGAACTGTGTCTATCTCCAGGTGCCAGCGTGATGAAACAGCATCTTTGGGGTTTGCCCTGACTTCTGCAAATTAATTTTGTCCATGCTGTCACACATGGCACCTACCGGACTTGAATAGTTGCAAAATTAAACCGCTCTCCTCCTTCAGAAGTTTCTTCAATATTCTTTTTTATCAAAATGCCCGGCCTCCCCCCTCAATAGCACCGACCCTGCTGATAAAAGTTGGCCCCTTCTGCACGACGATCCCTATCAGGCTGAAAAAACTGTTCTTTCTGGCTCAGTATTTGTATAGCATCTAACACAAGAGGACCTTCATCACCTATTTGGGTTTTACACAAACTTTTGTGGTGACGGAGCCTGGAGTTGCAGTTACTGTAAGAAAGCAAATATGGACGTGGTTCTGCTGGAGTCATCTTTATGTCCCCTGTGGTTCATTCAGCCGTGATAGTGTAACATTCATAAGTGTAGTGGGTCATTTACAGATGAAATTATGGAGGAATACCTAAGTGAAGTGAGGGAAGGACTTGCTTCTCAGCCCTTTAGCTTTCCCTTGGTGCCAGTGCCTGGGTGCTCTCTTCTTGTTACGGAGCCTTCAGCTTCCTCAGTGCCAATTCTCTCTGCAGGCTCATAGGGCTTCTGTCACACCCCGGGACACAAACCCTGCTACAGACTCCTCCTGACAGCATCGTGCTGCCTCTCCTTCTCCCCAGAGGCTGTAAGGTCCCTCTGTTTGTTGAACCTGTGGTTTCACAGGCCTCCTTGAACCTGGTCTTGGTCACTTACAGAAACAACTGTGGGAAGTTTTCTTCCTCCCATCACTACTGGGTTCAACGAGGGAGCGCAGCCATCGACTGCTATAGGACACCTCTGGATTTCTGACTTATTTGGCAAAAAACTGTGGGATAAGTGTCCAGAGAAGGGCAACGGAGCTGGTGAGGGGTCTGGAGCACAAGTCTGGTGAGGAGCAGCTGAGGGAGCTGGGGGTGTTCAGCCTGGAGAAAAGGAGGCTGAGGGGAGACCTTCTCACACTCTCCAACTCCCTGAAAGGAGGGTGTAGCCAGGGGGGGTCGGTCTCTTCTCCCAAGGAACAGGCCATGGGACAAGAGGAAGTGGCCTCCAGGGGAGGTTCAGATTGGATATTGGGACGCATTTTGACACTGGAAGGGTTATTGCACATTGGAATGGGCTGGCCAGGGCAGTGGTGGAGTCCCCATCCCTGGAGGCATTTAGAAGCCGGGGTGCCATAGTGCTTAGAGACATGGTTTAGTGATGGTTTTTATCAGAGTTAGGTTGATGGTTGGACTAGAGGATCTGAGAGGTCCCTTCCAACCCAGACAATTCTATGATTCTTTAAGTTTTCTTGCTTTCCTTTCCCTGGTTACATGAGCCAGTGTCTGCACTGGAGACTGGGAGAATCAATACTGAAGTTGATAGGATGACAATTAGGGGACAGATTTGGCTCCATGGACCACCCTTGTATCACATAATTAAAGCTGCAGGTGGGAGGAAGTGCAGCACTCAAACCCTGGAGATATTAGGAAAAATTTCTTCATGGCAAGAGTTGTCAAGCCTTGGAATGGGCTTCCCAGGGAAGTGGTTGAGGCACCATCCCTGGAGGTATTCAAAAGACGAGTTGACACAGTGCTTGAGGATATGGTTTAGTGTTGGTTGGTGGTGTGTGGGTGTGGTGTGGTGTGTGGTGGGTTTTTTTGTTGTTGTTTTGTTGGGGTTTTTTTTATGGTTGGACTAGATGACCTTAAAGGTCCCTTCCAACCTAGGCGATTCTGTGATTCTGAGATTTCTGTAAGGGAAATTCGGTAATGTTTGGGTTTTGGTGACATTATCTAAAATTTTAACCAGTTCATAGCCTTGTGCAAGCATTTTTCATTAAATTTGAAAATCGATGTAATGGATTATGCCTTATCCATTTATAGAAATTAAAAATAATAAAAAAATCTTGCCAATTCATAGAAAACACTCAATACTATGTAGATAAGTCTGCATTACCAGCAGAGATATAGCCTGAAACTTACGCAGTTCCCTAAGACATTTGTACAGATATTTTCCTTTTTGAAATTGTGTAACTTCTGCAGTTTGCATGGAGATGGAAACGAACAGCTGCCTCAAACAGAATTCGAGTGCCACCAAAGCTACACACTACAGCACAGCCATTCCGAGAATTTAAAAAATCTATTTTACTCAGATAATATTGACCTGGAACTTTTCAGCCACTTACATTTCAGGACTCTCAACTTGTTGTCCTGGTTTGCATTTCAAAAGCAAATAGTACTTATTCTTCATTAAAGTTATCAAATACAGGAAAGTTCTGGTATGTGGAGGTGAGTAGGAGGGGAATAAATTCTGTCTTGCAATTCTAAGGCAGTGAAAATGTCTGTGACATTGTGAGAAGTCTACTGGGGACACGTTCCCTGCTGTAAAAAAGCAGGATGAAAGAACAGCTGACTGAGTGTTTCAAATCTGTTGTTTTTCTTTTACTCAGAAATGCTGAGAAATTCAGAAGCTAAAATAAACCAACAGAAAAAGTAACAACAGACAATAACCCATAGTAAAACCAGCACAGGGCAAAATATTTAATTTTAAAACATACCCCTCCTTTGATAACCACCCTGCTTTGTCCTGAGAACTAGGAAATCGTGCCCTTCCTGAAAGTTTCAAACTTACTCTTTTTTCCTGGGGGATGTGGCTGTAACTTTCTCAAAAATGACAAGCCCTTTATTTCTGGGAATTTTAGCCCATTTTTGGACCCCGAAGTATGAAGCTGGAGTGGAAGAGGTATAAATTGGGTGGAATAGGTGTAAATTGGGTGGAATAAGTGTAAATCAATCTGATGACTGCAAAAGCAGCTGTTGCCACATCCCAGCTCTCACAGCCACCTTATGTGTGAAAATTAGAAATGTTAATTCTGTAAAATGTGATTTTTCCAGAGACCTCTACTGAAGTTGAGAAACTGAGCTCTCCTGTAGCCATTGAAAATCTGAACTCAGGAGGATCTGGCTGTTTCCCTCTTTTGTGCTTGGGGTTTTTTTGGTTTTTGGTCTTT